ACCTTGTAAAGGAATCTCACTTCTGAGCTTCCTCATTCTGCTCAAGGGGAGTTCGGCTGGGCTCAAATGACTTGGGTACTTCAAGATTTGCTTCCGTACACAAGCGAGTTTCGAGCATAGGTACAACTGCAAGAAATGCCACTGGTAGTGATTATGCGAAGTAGCGTCAACCTGGAGATGAATCAGCCCATAATGATCCATGCAATTTGCATGCAGCGGGGAAGCAAGGTATGGCCGCCTTATGCAAAGGTGAATCAATCGTTGGCTGTAATTGAAATTGCATGTACTCACAAGAGCGAACAACGGCGTGCAGAATGCCATACCTGTTGGAAGGGGGCGATGTTTGGCTAGGTTCCAATCCTTGCGTCGGACGAGGAGGTTTGCAGCAAAGACCTCTCATGAAATCAAATCGTTGTGCTGACAGTGTTCGAGATTGATTGGACGAGATGTAACGAGAAGACGTTGAGAATGCAAAGGCCGGGGGGGGGGGGGGGGGGGGGGGGGTGAAAATGGCACAAAACTCGTAAGAAGACGAACAGACGTCAGTCTGGACCTACGTGGACTACGGCCAGGACCCTGCCAAGGAGGAAGGCTTAGTCATGTCTGCTTGCCTTGTCTCTCACCTAAAGAGGTAAAGTGCCTGTCTACCTGCTGCGTGGAAAGCATCAGTATCTCGGGCGTTGAAGCTGTAGATCTTGAGGAGGAACGAAACATGGAGGTTACTGTTGCTGCGTTTCTCCCACCTCTTTCCTCCTCTGCCCAAACAGTCGAGTGGCAGGATGAGCAGATGGATGGTCACTTCTTCGTGATGTTTGTGAATTGGTGTGCAACCATGCTCCGAGGACCCCTTGCTCTTCCTCTCCCGCACCACCCACACCACAATCAGTCTTACCCTCCTTCTTCATCGTCATCAGTTTTCAGTAGTGGCTTCGAAGGTACCCTCACGGCCCCATAGGCCCAGCTGGCCCCTTCCGTCGACCCGTTCGTCTTACTGGTTTGAGACAGGCAGTTGAGTTCTCTCTGCAACACCATCTTCTTCCCTAGCAACTTTTGTCCTCGCGAATTGGGACTCGCCCGAGGAACCGCGGCCGCACATCACGATGACCTTACCCTTCGCGCGAAGAGCCAAAGCTAGCCGTCAGTCGCACAAATCTCAAAGGCTCATCACCACGGCCTTGCTACGCTCCGCGATGCGCATCTCGAAATGCAACCTATCAGGACCCCAGTCGGCATTGTGAAGGCGCCAGCGGGGCTTAGCTTTCGAATCCTTGGCATACATTCGCTGCTCACTACCTTCCGGCACTATCTTCCGGGGCATCCAAGACCCTGGATACGATGTCCGCGATCAACACCTAGCCTTAAATTCGGAATATGAACGGTGCCAAGTGGCCTGCATCGCAGCCAATTCCCCGGCGTGTGTGTGCGGTCGGTCCCGAGCCCAGCTCAATCCTCCCCGCACCGGCTCAAAGATGAACCGCCTACAAGATAGGGCGAGATGTTGTCAGGCTTGCCAATCCCACCTTGCGTTGTCAGTCGCGATACACTGACTAGGATTCTCATGCAAGCTGTTGAATTCCAATGATTCTAGGCAGTAGATCCTGTACCACCTTGGTTGACATTGAACGCTGTCTGTCGGATTCAACGCTGTAAGCTTTGTTTCTCTTCATTATCAGATCGACCATCATAGATTCTGCGGATTTGGGACAGACTGGATTCGGTGTTTTGCTTATCCGCTTTCTTCTGTCAACGTTGTCTCGCGCAGACTGGCCCCGTGGACGGTGTTTGTGTAACCTCAAATTCCTTCTCCCTCCTAGACCATGTCTCACCCTGCGCATCTTCGTATTCAATCCAAGGTTCTCCGCAAGCTAACGTCTTTCAAGTCAGGGCTCTTGACTACACACGATTTCTTGTAGCCATTGTGCCTCACGGAAAGGTCTCTTTCGCCCGACCCAGGAACGAGCTTACTCTCGCCGCCCGACCTGTCGCCCGCAAGAGGCACACGGTGAAGAGGTATTGCTCTGTCTCCCACGCGAAATCGGCCATCGAGAAACCCCCACCAACTCGTAGCAAACCCTGTTGCCCCCCATCACACCCACTCGACATGCCATCCCAAAGGAGGCTCTGCATTCAATATTGGAAGCAGTGGCTTGCTTGCAGGGAGTAGCCCAGCTCTAGGCCATGTTCTGGCTGCCTGAAATCTCCACAAGATCATCCATATTTTGGTGTTCACCGAGGCCTGCTTCTAGCGACAAAAACATCCTGCTAGATAAGAGCTGCCACGTCTGTTTTGCCGAGTTACGCCCAAAGTGCACGCGGTCGCGATTGGAGCCAGATTATGATCGAATCCTCGACCGGAGAGTTTCGCGATTAGCGAGGCTGACGCTGCGTGATACCGCTGACTGCCAATGTCTTTGGTTCGTCCGATTCGACGGCTGGACGCAAGCCCTGGTATCGAGCTTCTCCGAGGGCAATGCTTTCATTTTCTAGTGGCGTTACCTTGCATCAAACCTTGTGGCTATCATCGTGTCTGGCAGCGTTCGAAGTAGCTTCCCGCTGTCATCACCCTGGCATCCGAATTGGCCGAGGCGAAGAAGCCACTGCTACCTGGTCTCGCTTCCGAGTTTGTGGTGAAGCTTCTGTCGGTTTCCGGCAATCACAGACACAGGCTTTGGCGTCAACGTCGTACTCAAGAGTTGGTTCTTCTACTTCCAATCGTTGAATGCTTGGTAACTTACAGATCAGAGTTCTTCTAAGTACATCAAAATGTCACCGTAGATAAACCCAATATTCTCTCTTTGTTGTACGTAGCGACAACTTCTTGTCGATCAATTGAATCTATCTTTGGGGTAACTTACAGTGCATCTTACCAATCTTCAGGGGTCGGTTGGGGTGGGTCGCCGCCATCTGTATGTCAGAGTATCATGGCAATAGCAGGGGGACGACACGCTGTAGCCGACGTCATGATAAAGGAGTAGAGGGGGTCCTCCTCACATTCCGCAATGGATCGATTTCCCAGAATCCAGAATACCAGCAGGCGGAAAAATTGTGGCGCGGCCGATGGATGGCTGGCTCTGTATGTGCTAGGAAGAGTGGGGCTCAGAGATCCCAGGTTGTCCGACACGAGATCAACCACCTAAGAAGAAGCCTCCAAAGTACTACCGCGGACCGCAAGACGGAGGACTACCCAGTCAGTGAATCAACAAAGCTCAAAGTAAGACGGTGGATGGGACAGAAACGGTGGTGCATAACGGTGCGGTAAGTGCCCGTTGAAAGGCTACTGCCGACAAGGGCCAAGGGGGGCAATCGCTATCTACGGACACATTTGTGCTGAAGTGCAGTGTCGATCGGAGATTCTTGTCATCATGTGAGCAAGCAGCGATGCAGAAGCGGAATCGACGATGCGGAAGTGCGCTCGCTCCAGGCGGGGCGGCCGCTGGCAATCACCTCATGGATCTATCATCATTTCTGCTTTGGTATGTCCTATATCCACGATATATGGCCTGCAGGTGAGGGGTGTTCGCATTGTTACCCAAAAAGGGTAACAAGCTGGTTCAGTGCCGGTGTACTGGCAGTATCCCAGACCGTGACATCGGGGGTTCCGTAGTGCCGGACGGTGACCCACTACCGGGCCTCGGGAAACAGTGGGGCTGGTTTAGGCCTCAAGACGGCGCATCTCCCATTTGCTGGGATCCGGGGCTTAGACCGGCTCCTAGAATCAGCGTTTGCCAGCCTATAGACGTAGCACAAGTGGCTGAAGTTTCTGAGGTTGTACAGAGTGGGTTTTGCCGCGAGTATGACGAGCACACGGCATTGGGTGACATTTTGAGAGCAAATGCCGGATGGGTTCGGGAGTCTTAGCGGGTGAGATTCTTGCTTCCTTTGCAAGGCATACGCCGTCAGCTTGAGCATGGTACGACTCTGACGAGACGCTATCGCACCACTATGAAGCCAGTTCAGAGCTCCCCCGTGGGAGTCCAGCAATGCCACATAAGAAGCTTAGTTATAATAGGGAAGATACTGGGAGCTGCCTGAAAGATGCCAGCGCCAGCTCGCTGGCAGTGGATTCGCACACCTTCACTGCAGGACCGTAAGCAAACGAAATCCTCCTTTACGTGCGCCTCTCTCTATCCCTGACGCGCAGTTCGGCTCAGACCGTTAAGGCTTCCAAGAGCATGCTTATCTTCGGCCCATCTCATATACTATTGGATTCCTGTATAAGTGTATCTGGATAAACGTAAGGAGCTTACTGGGAAAGTCCGTGATCCTCCTTGTTTCGAGATGATTACGGTGTCGTTGTATCTAGCTTTGTGGGGGAGAGGAGGGGGAGCGGGTGACTAAGTGGATGAACGTGCCCAAACCCAATTCTCACACTCGTAAAACCACTCGCCAGGGCTTCATAGACCATCGTGATGCCAAATCTAGAGGAATTTAGTTGATCTTACTGACCTGGTCCCTGGCGTACTGACGCTTACACAGGGATTTGCCCCTTTCTTTTGGCCTATTGGTAATATTTGCACATGAAAAATCCACCCTTCTCTCGTGTACAAGAGGTACTTTGGCCTCCATGTATCCGGTACTTCGCTCGCCTAGAATATTTGAACTCTGAGGATCTGGCGATCCTCCCCGCTTTCTATCTGAACTTTTCCGATCTTGACGAACGGTCTGGCCCGATGGGTACGGGACAAGGTGAGGATGCAATAGAACCAGCGACTGATGGCCGCTTGAAGCTTGGTTTCCGTATCTGCCGTAGGCGTCGTGCGTTGTCTGAATGTGATTGGAGAAAGCTTAGAGCGGCCACTGAGGCTGACAGAGCTGCTTAGATACTTTGCGGATGGAGTTTTGGAAATCTCACTCTTAGGTTATGGTGTCCGAGCACTAGAGGTTCAGTGCTCTTGAGATTATGGATATCACAATGGCCGTCACACGCTTAATGAGCCAGCCCCTCGATAACTCGATTCGTGAGAGAGCTGCGAATTGATGACACGTTCAAGGCAAAGATTTCTAGTCAAGCTCCGCATTGTATTATCATGTCTACGTACGCCTGTCCTAGGTACTATGTAAAATCCCCTACTCCTAGCCCCCGTATTAACCGACCGAAGTCCCAGTCCCATGGATCGCAGACGTCCGGCTCGCCCATCGATCCAATGCATTAAGATATCACTAAGGCAACCCCGCACGGATGGAGATGCCTGTGAAGCGCAGGTTGTTGCACTTATGTGCCGCCACCGGTAACCTTGATGATTTGACCTATTGCAGGCGTTAGCAATTGTTTTATGATATTGTGAAGGATGCATTTCAAACATACCGTTGATCCACTCGCAGTCAGAGTGGCAGAGGGAAGCGACGACCTTGCCGACATCCTCAGGAACACCGACGCGCTTGAGGGGGTTCATGTTGGCCAGGCCCTGGTCGATGATCTCGATGGGCATGCCCTTGTAGCCATTGGGGACGTAGTGCCACGAGTTCTCGTCGTACATGTCGGTCTTGACACCGCCGGGGGCGATGGCGTTGACAGTGATGCCCTTGGCACCGCAGTCGACGGCGAAGGCGCGGGTGAAGCCCTCGACGGCGGCCTTGGAGCCGGCGTACAGGGCGTGGTTGGGGATACCGCCCATCTGGGCAGCGATGGAGGAAGTGAGGAGAATGCGACCTCCGCGTCCGCAGTGCTTCAGGCCCTGCTGGGCGACGAAGAACTGGCCGCGGGTGTTGAGGTCAAAGATGTTTTGGAAGAGCTCCTCGGTGACCTCCTCCTCGGGGCACCAGACCTCCTTGCCAGAGTTGGAGATGACAAAGTCCATCTTGCCAAAGTGGGCGACGGCGCGGTCAAAGAGGTCGACGACCTGGGCGGGCTTGCTGATGTCGGCCTTGAGGGCGATGGCCTTTGACCCGTACTTTTGGATCTCGGCGACGACCTCCTCAGCGGCGCCGGCGGAGGAGGCGTAGTTGACGACGACGTTTGCGCCGCGCTTGCCGAGCTCGACGGCGATGCCGCGTCCGATACCGCGGCCGGAGCCGGTGATCAGAGCGACCTTGCCGACGAAGGGACGCGCCGCGTCATACTCGGCAGGCTGCTGGGCAGCGGTGTTGTCAGTTGCGGAAGGAGCCATTGTGGTATAAGTCAATGGCGAGAGAAGAGAAAGGGAAAGGAAAGGATGGGATGAGGATAGAAGCAAAAAAAAAAAAAGAATAGCTAAGGGCGGTTGACAAGAGGAAGTTATATACAGGAATTAAAACACAACGTTTGGCGTATAGTCCCCAATTTGACGCTTTGTGGTTAAAGGCGAAGAACCGAACGCATGTCCGCCCGGTTGCCCGCCGCACCTCCGCCGGGAAGCGAAACGCCTTGCATTTGGGGGTGGGTTCAGCTAGGATCGGGGCCCGGGGACATTGAGGGAGGGCAAGCCAAAGGGCTACCTAGAGGAAAATTCGGGATGGGGGAGGTCCACGCGTTCGCACCCCCGGCGGCGCTTCTTCCTTTCGCGAAAGGGCGGCCAAGGAGGACAGCCCGTCGTCTTCAGATCAGACGCCACTACCCTATGTGAGTCTAAGTCTGAGTCTGAGTCTAAGCCAAAGCTTCAGTAACAGCAACAGCAAAGCGCTAGAACGTTGTGTCTACTTCGCTGTTGCAATGTAGCAAACGTGACCTCACATTGTGAGTGAAACTTCCTTGGATCACTCTTGGTTTTGGCGGGTTGCTATTACAGATCCTGACTGGTTGGCAGCATAACAGAGGGTCGAAATTCATCGGTACTCTGGATCCGGAGCCCCTCAATGCCCGGAGTCAACCGCCGGAGTGTTGGAGGAGACTCACCAGGGACGAGTTGTGGGGAGCCACAAGCACAACATGGCACCATCCTATCCTCTAGCCTTGTTCGTTGCCGTTTCCTCTCCTTTGACTATCTTTAGATCATGAAAGGAGCAACAACGGCTGTTCTGCCCCTGGTTGCCGTAGCACTCGCACGTACAAAACTCCCGCTCCAACTGAACCCGCAATGATGATCCGACGACTAAACAGCGGTAGCGTCGCGTTTAGCGGCCCTACGGGCGAAAGCCATGTCAGGGCGGTCGCGCGGCGCCAGGAACCGGTGCCCCTCGCCCGTCGCCGCCGAGACGCCGCCACGGCGGGGCCCCCAACCCCAACGGAGGTCCGGTCGTAAATCAGGTACGTACCTGCGTCCTTAGGGGTCCAGCGTGCCAGCTTGTTCTCAAGGGAAGTCATCCATCCCATAGAGAAATCCTGTGACATTGGACGGCCGTCCGTTGCTGTGGCTATCACCCAAGACAGTCGGATGTCAGTCGCGCTGAATGCCATAAACGCGAAGATCCGAATCCCATCGAGAAGCTCGGTTGGGAACCGCAATGCGCTTCCATTCGTGATATGGAAAAGAGACATGGCTTAGTCACCAACCTCCGGAGAGAGAGTGTGTGGGTGGGTCTCACGGGAGTATCCACACCTTCCCGTGATGGTCCCCCACGAACGACTTCAACGAAGACGACGTCCTTGGAGCAAGATGAGGATCAAGTTTATCTTTCGCCATTGAAGTCTCACGGTATAAAAAGTGTGCCTATCAAGTTTTACGAGTTCCAAAAAGTGAAAAGCCTACCCTCACGAACAACGCTTTCAGTCGTGGAAGTATCTATTTTCATACTCATCAGTGCTTCGCATTTTCGTGATAGAAAGCCTCCAGAAGATGATGCGGAAGGCGCAGCGAAGCCATTGCAACTAAGTGAATACTACACACTAATAAATGCTACAGTTTGATAAGCAGTTCAGTGACATTTTCTCGCGGTCATCTAAAGTCCCTTGGCGGCTCAATCCGCACACTACTAGCGTGCTAGATGACAGGATCAGTTGGCATGCTAGCAGGAAACAAGGAGAGATGAACGCGGAAGCATAATGGCATATATCATCCGATGGGTCATTCGGTTTATCGATAGGATTGTACGTGGCTGATGGGCCTCAACCCGTCCGCGGTTGGCTAGGACAGACCAACGAGAGCAATACTTTCCCTGCAAGTGTCCGACTTCCATTGCCAGGCAACCCCTGATCCAAATGCACTTAATGGCTCTGTGTTGCTTTGTAACCTTGGTTGTAAGACTTGTGAGCTGGAATCCAGTCCCGATGGCAGACTCGCAAATCAATGTCCTGGTCCAAGCCAAATTTATTTTGTCTCTCGCATTGTTCCGCTCCTAACGTACAAGTGCCGACAATGGCGAGACTTGAATACGACTACACAGTTAACGAAAGGGCGAAAGGCGAGGCCAGTAATAACTACTTTGGCAGCGTCGGAAAGAATTCCATGCACCAGCCTCCTTCCCGTGCGCCGGTTCGACGATCCAGGCATGCGAAACCAAACTTTGACATGACTTTATCATACACACAGTCCTGCAATCACCAGCTTAATCAGGCTTCCAAGCGCCTTTTATTCACAGCCGTTTGTTTCTGCCTTCGGTATTAGGACAACAAGATAAATGGGAATACGTGATTCAGGGGCAGATAGGGCCGCTGTCCCGGGTTAAGAGCTTTGACTGGCGTTTGGCAGCTCCAGTATGACACGCATGCTCGAAGCAAAGGTGGAGCGTAAGGTCTGGGCTTTTCACAGATGGCTTCATGCGCGGGTTTTGCTGCTTCATGTTGACCATGGCTTCGAATCTTCAAACCGGTTCCTCCAGATACGCGGCCTGGTTTCTATCTGACAATCAGCCGCCGAGTCTCCTTCGGACGAGAATCGTTCATTGCCTCGGCGTCAAGAAGAGATCTTGGCCATACCTTGTTATCGTAATATAGCACTATGTCTCTGCTTGAAAGCTAGTTGGGTATCCATATACCTTACAGTATCTCAAGTACAGAGCATCATTGAAGATGGCCTCTGCGGCCTCGGCTCTCGGGACGTCCCTGATCAATGCCTCTCTTCGGACGATCTGCGGCTGGGTGATTACCTGAGCCCAGTCGAGAAAATCAAGCACTGCCTCTAAACGCTAGACTAAACGAGGCAAGAATGATAGAAAGATGGGAATTGCGAGATAGCCATGAGTGTGAACGCTTGCAAAAGTGTTTCGCGGCGCGGCCCAAGAGGGAACTCCATTTTCGGCGCCGGCATATTGCCGATCCAGGAGGCCGAGCCAAAGTGAAAACAAAAAGTGAACGCCTGGTTTCGACAATCATCGGAGACCGATAATATCAGCCCCCGACACAGCCGAACTGAAGCGGTCTCCGTCAAATCACCGCTGCCGCGATACTCTACTAATCATCCCAACGCCAGAAGAAAGAATCTCGGGCCCTCTATCGCTTGGGTACACCACGGTCTCTTGACGAGGAAGTTGTCAAACAAGCAATGGACCGGGCGTGCCGCCAAACTCTGTTTCTGCGCGTACAAGGAAACAAAACTACCGACTATAGTAAGTACTGGGCAAGCAGGCAGCATTTTCCCTATTACAAAACAATTCCAACAAGCTTGTTTCAACTCGGAAAGGTAGCTCGGCCCCTTGCCCACGCCTTGTGCCGAACCCCCCCCCCCCCCCTCCATCCCGGGCGTGAAGGCGGATCTTGGCAATCTCCCGCCGAACTCCCCCTTGTTCAATCAATCAAACAAACAAAAACCGTCCAATCGTCTAAGACCGAAACAGAACGGGCTGACCTCCCGAAGAATCCGATATCCCGCGTTCCCAACATCGCTACTCGCCCGTCGGCAAGTTGTGGGCCTCCGTCGAGCACACCCCCCCGAGAGCTCTTACCTACCACACCTACCTACGTAATCGGAACGTCAAACTCAACGGCTTTCAGAACTTGAGATGACTTTTCTTCTCTTTCGGTTTGTGCGTCACTCTTTTCATACTATACACACCTACTAGAAACAAGATTCGAGCAAGTAATCACCGGTTCCCGTTTCCCCCCCTCTTCTTCTCTATGCCTCTCAAGGACGACCCCTTACTGGAGTGAGTTCCGACTCGGCCGCCTTGTTTAGGGGACCTCGGGTCGGATTCCTTAGCAAGTCCGCTCTGATGACCCTGGCATCACTGTCATTGACCAACACCTTCTTCTCATCACAACCTCATGTCATTAAAAGAGACTGTCAAAACGCTAGATGTCTGTCATGGGAGGCATCGTAACCCTGCCAGCAAGGAGAGACCTCGCCCTATAGGAATAGCGGCCCGTAATGGCTCGACCTTCCCTTTGCCTTGTTAATCACAAGTAACATATTGCAAGACGTTCTCAACCCGTTTCCGTAGCTATTGTTCACCCGTCGCAAACGGTGTCATCTCTTCTCCGTCAAAGAAGAGCCGAAATCTAGCAGCCACGACGTTGTGAAACAACATGACCCCTCCTTCGTAGCCCGTCCACTCGAACTCGGAGTATTCTTTCGGAAACTCGCATGTCTGTCGTGAACCGTTACCATTCAGACGCTCCCCTCGGTCTCGGGGACAGTAAAAGAACGCTGTCTCGAACCCGATATTGAAATTGTACACTTTCAAGTCTCCCAACTAAAAAGAAAAAACCGGTCCGTCATCCCGTGACGGAGTATACCAGTCCCTCTATCTCTCCGTCCGCATTTCCGCTCGCACTACACACAAACGTCCCACGCATCCCGCGAAACTTCGGCGCCTGTGGCGTAGTCATCGCCCGCGAGGTTTCGGCCGATTGAGAACTCGAAGTAAGCTTTTGGTCGTCGAGGCGTGCGGCCCCTCCTCAGGACAGGTTCCTTGGAAGACCCCGGTGCCATTTGATGTGGTATCTGCGGTCACGAGATAAGATTCACCCCCCGTACACCAATTCTTCCGATTGAACCATTTCCACCTATTCTGATGCTATACTAAGACGGCTCATGTTCTGCATGTAGATCTCCCTCGCCCACCATCTTCAGTTGAGAGAATGCGAGAGCATGCTCGTGCTCATTTATCCATGAACGAACATGGGAGGTGGGTATGAAGGAGAAGGGGGCCTTGTTGACAACAAGCCCATCAACCCTTAATCCATCCCACATCCAAGTCTTCCCCATCATCCCTGTATCAAGTCTGTAATGGTGGGCAGTGGACGTCTCGCTGGCATCTTGGCTTGGCCTTATGCTCCCGAATTCCGCCGGCGCCGCCAAACAACCAAGAGAGAGAAAGAGAACCTGGCCCTCTCAATGCCGCGGAGTTTTCATCCGATCCTCCTTCTCTCTGCATCTATCTCTTATGGCACCCAGTCTGCCGAGTCGTAGGATGAAGGCCCAATCGCTGTCCACTGTGTACTTTGTCCAAAGAAGTTTGATGCGCACAGATGATGAGGGTGCTGGTTCCAGGGCAAGGACCAACCAAGCAAAGAAAGTGGCGTTTTGTTCTTGTCCTTTTCGTACATGTCCACCCGTCCACCCGTCCTCTCCCCCCACTTCCCTCTCTCCAAGGTTTGACTTCCCGTCTCGCTGGGGGGGTTTCTAGATCAAGTCTGTTCAAGGAACACATGAGACATGAGACATGAGATTGTAAAAGTTCATTGGGTGTTCTCACATGCAAGCAAGAAATCTAATCGAGAGCATCATTAGTCACGAGGATAATGTTTTCCCGCTTTCCATGTCTCTTGTCATATGTCACATCACATGCCTCCGTCCATTTTAGGAAAGAAGGTGTCAATGTCAACTGCCTTGTCAACTCATGCGATTTTCATCTCATCTGTTCCAACTTGCGTAATCAAAGATCAATCATACTAATGATGGATCCGCGGTAAGTGGTATTCATCAATTCGATTCGATGCAGGAACGGTGTTATGAAAAATGTCTCCAAGTTAAAGCTTGTAATTTGTAAAAGTGACTAAAATACATGTCGCTAAGAAGTGAAGGCCCTCCCTGTCATGACCAATGGCCTGAGGTATCTAGATAATGGACGAAATCATATGGAAAGCAAGAAAAATGTACGCCAAAGCTCATCAGGCTGATCGCTGCTTTGTTTGCAGAACGCCAGTGACCTCGTACGTATTTCCCAATTCGTCGATGAAGGACGTGTCTTCATCCGTCATGTTCATGCGTTCTCCCCCAATGTACCCATCATCATAACCCATAAACGCCGAGTGAAGAAATGCAAAGAGAAAATTGTACAGTGTAAGGACGGTTATCAACAAGAGCCATATATCCAAGTGTATGAGGGAAACAACATAGTGAGAAGATAAAAGATACTTTTTGTGGTTGAAAGGATGTTCAGAGAATGGACGAGGCTAATGACCTCTTACGCGGTGGCCGTATTGGCAAGGCCATCCACGTTCCAGTTGTTGTTGAGAGTGATGAGTTTGCGCCTGATACCATCGCCGACACGGCAGGTGACGCCTTCTTCAATGGCGATGATGCCGTAGTTGATGACCTCCGCAGGCTTGTCCAGGCCCAGGGTGGTGCCGTCGCGGCGGGTGAGGATGGCGATTCCGTCGCCCCCGCTCCACAGGTAGGAGATGACGGACGGGTCTTCCGGTGTGACCTGGTCAATCGCGACGACATTTGCGCTGCCGTGCTGTCCGCCCGCGGCAGCATTAGCGGCGCCAGCGCCGCTAAGATGCTCGGGACTTTGACCCTGGTGCTGAGAAGACGGTGACGAGGACTGCTGCTGAGCCTGCTGGGCCTTTTGGAAGTTGGGGTCGAGGCGTGCGACGCTGTCGGCCCAGAGGATGAGAGTCGCGCGGTATACACCGGCGGCCCACCAGCAAGGGCGGCGGTCGGCGGGCATAGAGCGCAGGAGACGCATGACCTGGCCGCAGTGGAAGACGGCCTCCTCGCGGTTGTAGACACAGCGCTTGTGGCGCAGGCTCAACTCCCAGTAGGACCCGTCGAAGCCGTCGCGGCGGGCAAGACGCTCGATCTCTGGGAAGTTGGTGACGGCGTTGAGGGAGATGAGGTGATAGAGAACCAGGTTGCAGCGCGTAGTCGTGCAGTTGGGGTTGCTCTTGTAGTACACCATGGTGAGCTCGTACCACTTCTGCAGAAGTGCTTGAACCTCTTCCAGGCGGAGCATGGTGCTCGACTTGGTCACGGTCCTTGAAGTCGCGCGACGGGTGGAGAGAACATCGGGGAAGCAAGAGAGCATTTGCCTGAGGTGGCAGAGAAGGGACTGGAGGGGGTGAAGGAGAAGGCGAAGCTGTTGAGGAGACAGGCCAGCTTGGCGGCGGGAGAGGTTGTCGTGGAGAAAGTCCTGGAAAAGCTCGCAAAGAGAGGGAGTGAGGGAAGGGCTAGACAGAAGCTGCGGGTTGACATTCGCAGTGCAGCCGTAGAGATTCTGGACGTTTGCGAACCATTGCTCCGAGTTGGACGCAAGCCAAAGAGCCTCGGGGCTGGGGAGCGGGCATTGCAGGTCGGTGATGGCCAGCTGTGGCGGGGTATCATGGAACAGGCTGAGCTCTTGGTCGCACATGACCCAGTTGTAAACGAGCCTGTTCTGCATCTCGCGATGCAACCAAGCCCGCCATTGAAGCTCGGTGCTTGTCGTGCTGTTCAACGTAGGAATCATTGATGGTTGAGGCTCCAACATGCCGGCGTGTTTGAGCATCTGCTTTACGTCAGTGGACTTATTCTTAGCACGTTTGGAGGATTGTGGCTGCTTACCGACAAGTACATTCCCCGTTGACCCATCGAGATGTCCATCAACCACTTGTCACCACTCCAAGCACCTTGGAGGGTAAAGAGCAGCGCACACCTCAAGGCGACGGGGTCCGCAGACAGCTCGACATCCTTCTCTATGATATCGAAGAGTGAGATGCGACAGGTTTCTGTAAGACCAGCAGCAAGGTACCGCGCCTCCGCCATCGGCACTGCCGCAGCGCCTTGCGCGATCATCAACAGGAGTAGCAGTGTCGATGCCTGGTTGTTCAGCAACATCTCGTTGGGGTCAACGCAGCCTGCGACAATGAGGGGATAGTAGTACTGCAAGCTGCGAACGTAGCTGCGGAGGAAGTATTCGAGAATCTTCGTGGGTGGCAGAACGATGAAGTTGAATTCGCTGGGTGTGGCGTAGCCGGTCTTGGAGTACCCGTTGTTAAGTCCGCTTCGGTGAATATCCAACGCTTTTTGGAGGAACGACTGCGTAATGGCCAGCATGCGGTCGCGAGTGCGAGATGTGAGAGGGACGACGGAGGCATCGGTGGTATCCCAGTCGACGTTCTCTAGGTACTTCTCGAGCGAGCTCCAGGTACCATCTTCCTTGGACTTTCTCTCCAAGCATTCTAAGTGCACGATTGCCGTTCTCGGGCAAGTGCCGGAATAGATGGGGGGATTGCATCGAGCGAGCGGCCATGAGTCCTCCGCGGCAATAACCACTTCGAACTCTGGGATCGCTGATTCGTTCGGCATACCCAATGCTTGCTCAGCTGGCTTCATTGTGGTGTCAAAGTCAGCTGTGGACATGATGCTGGTACTTCGGGTGTGGATTGATCCTCGCGAAGACGAGGCAGTCATCGCCTCTGATGCTGAGCTTGAAGACATGTCGCTCAGTTCTGTGAAGCTAGGCATCGACATGTCGGGCCGCGACATCGGTAGCTGACTGGAGTACATATCGAGCTCCAGAGGATATTCAGGCCAGACCATCATATCTTGGTAGTTCGTGTCGGGCGTGATGAAATCGCTATTGAGCTGCATAAACTCGTCGAGTCCATCTACGCGGCTGTGCGGTGATGGGAGGTCATCGGAACTGGGGTGCGACTGTGCTGGTGAGCTCTTCTTCACAGGGCCCTCCATCATGCGAGGGTCCATGGTCGCGATTGGAGATCCAGTTGACATCTTGCCAGGTGAGTCTTGCTTAGGCATAGTTGGATCAAGGTCCATGAAGGCGACAGGCTGAGCTGGCTGTGGCGGTTGGGGCACAGTCGGCATCATTTGCTGTTGGAAAGCCGCGCTGGCTTGGGCAGCTCTGACTGCGGCCTTTGACGATCTCCGAGCGAATCTTGCTGCGCAAGGCAGGTTCTTCTCTGCGCAACGCGAGCAAGGTACTCTCTTATCACAGCCGGTCTTTGCGTTTGCGCAATTTTGGCAAGCGATTGGTGTCCGGCCCGCTACTGTGGGAACGCCGCCAGGCAATGGCTCCATGGGGTCCCGCGCCTCATGGTATGTTGAGTGATGTCTTTGCAGAAGATCTCTGTGATAGTTATGTGAGTGAGTGGATGTCTCTCTATACTGTCCCATGTTAAACTAACCTTCGTGCAAAAGAAAGCTGGCAGGCACTGCAGCGGTGTGGCTTTACGTTGGTATCTGTACCAGACTAGTCAGTGTATGCTCGATGTCAACCATGACCAGCATAGGAATCAACCTACGGCTTGGGATATGTCTCTCCAGATGTTCCTTCCTGGTGAAGGACTTCCCGCAGTATGCGCAGAAGACCATTGTGACGGTATTTCTGGATCGCTCTGGAGCGATCGAGTTCGAGATGAGTTTGACTAGACAGGATCTATCATCAAGCTGCAAGCGAATGATGTGACGTCTTGAGCAGCCTTTGTCGGTATGGTGGTAGTCGAGTTCGATGGGGTCGATTTGGTGAAGCACGCGATGCTATGTACTCGATGATGTATCCGAGGTACAGACAGTCAGGTAAATTTAGAAGCGTGTGTGTATTGAATATGAAGAGGTAGAAGAAGAGGCTCTGGGTTGGGAGGGGTTGCCGTGTAATAAGAAGGGGCGCGACGGAATGGTCCAAGGCGTAAGGTTCGATAAGGCAATCACGCTGCTGATTAGAGTTCTGGACGAACTTGCGTCTACAAATTTGGTAACAGCGATGAAGGGTGAAGATGAACAAGTAGTAAGAAAGAGGAGTTCCTCCAGGATCCAGTATGAAGTAGGCAGAAAGGGTGGACGGTTTTGAAATATATCGCGGAAGCAATGTCGAGGAGTGAAAGGAATAATGTATGGACCAGGGCCGGGCGCAACGGGCAGGGGTTGCATGGGACCCGTCAGCTCGGCGAATACGGAAGCGGTCTGGGCATGGCATCAGCTTCTTCCCAGCAGAGTGGGAATAGCTTGGATGGATAGGGTTGGTAATAGTGTGGGTGACGGGCGATGGGATCTTGGGAGGCCGAGGCGGTGCCTGCTTCAGGGCGAAAAGCAGACTGAGTACGCACAGTCGTTTAACGCAAGACAATGGAGCACATGGAGATGTGCAACATGGATCCTTGAGCAAGGGTACAAGGCTACTTGGTGGCCCGGCACTGGCTCTGGATGTTTAGTATCAGGCATTGGGACTTATGAGGAGAGGGAGGAAACGGCGCCGATGTGTGTTCAGCCGCCATAGAATCGGTCTTAGAAGTATGGCAAGAGATAGTCATGATTGGAGTGGATACCGCAAGTCGACGGGGTCTGTGGCCGGCGCATACAAGGCTCTTTGGGTCAGCCTGGGCATAACATGGACTTGAATGACCATAGTGATGAGGTGGACAAAGGCACGCAAGGCACCAGGTTGCATAACAGGATACAGTAGTGCGTGCTATGGGACCAAGAGGGATCTGTGTATGCGTATGTGTGTACATCTGCTTGAAGCAGACCACGGCTTTTCGTATTGCGTACATTGGAGCCATACACTAGCCAGGTCCAACAACAAAACGGCCAAGACCGGCGGGGGAACGGTGCGAGGTACCTGAGTAGTGTGTTTGTACTGATTAACCCAGTTGAGTAAGCTTTATGTTTGACAGGGGCCGCGGCGCCGTGGCGGCGGCGACGGGGAGAGAGAAAGGACGGCCATGGGGGGCTTGATGGAGGGGGAGGGAGCGTTCGGCGAGCGGGTGAGGATACGGCGTACAAATTCGTGAGAGTGAGAATGAGAGTGGGAGTGGGAGGGGGGTGGGAGATCAAACAGAAACGCCAGGGCACAGACAAGAAATGGGATGATCCCGAAGGAGTAGTCGGGGAGGTGGGATACCTTGCGAGTAAACCCAGTTGTGGATGGACTAGACAGAATGATAGACAACGAGTAACAAGAGTCGAGAGAGAGGAAGAGAAGATGGCAACAACCGAGTAAGCATGAACGTTCTCAGGCTGGTTAGAGAAAGCGAAAGAGAACGAGACAAGAGATGAAGATGAGAGACAATGTCAGAGAAGGTTAACTGAAGCGTGTGGGTGGGTGGAGAGATGATCGTTGCCGGCCGAACGAGTACGAAAAGCAAGGTTAAAGGGAGCCAAGAAATGTCTACAGAGAGTCATCGACACATGGGCCATGATATCCAACGGATTTGCTAGGGAAGACCTTGCAGTAGCCGCTGTGAGAGAGCCATACCAACCATGGTCGACTTGAACGCTGCTGGCCAGACCCGGCCGAGGCATGGATTTCTGAAAGAGTAGGTTGGCCGGGATATCTCTGAATACTGCGGGTTGCCGGGTTTCAAGGCACGGAGCAGATCGACCAAGACTGAGTGGCCATTGGCGCGTGCCATCTGTTTCTGCCTCGACACTCGACAGGCCTGTGCCAACTGGCATGACAATCGGATCCCAGGCAAAGGCAAAAAGAGTGGGAGACATGTCGTCACGGTTCGTGTGGGAGGCTGGGCTGAACCTGTGTGTCTCCCTCAATCCCATCGACCGTGTATGTGTGTCTATGTGTGTGTGGGTGGGATGGCCTGCCTTACCTTACCTCAGTTCCACCCGCGGGAATGGCGCCGCTGTTTCCTAAAATGGACATTTGACAGCACTAAACAAAGGGGGGTTTTGTCAATACCTGGTGCTGCCGTTGCAGCCGAGGGGTGGTCTGCGCTGCGTAGCCGCATCATGCTGCTTCTGAGGCTGCGCAAAGGCAGTATCAGACGCTGGCGCAGACGCTGGCGCAGAGTCCAGCATCAGACTCTTGGTCAAGCATTGCAGCGGCAGCAGCATCAGCGGCAGCAGCATCAGCGGCAAAGAGTGCAGCCAAGCAAGATTGCCGTATAATGCCGGTCTCAAGGTGAGAAGACCAAGCCGCGCGGGAGCCTTGGTGCGGCGATAGATACGTAAGTCAATGTGCTTGGACGCGATGTTGTCGGAGAAAAGCCACGACAAGATTATGAAGCTGTCAGAATCGATAGCCAACAGATCTGTATGCAAGAAAAAGCATCAAACGTGTAATGAATGGCCGAGAAGCGAGAAACAGGCGTCGATATGGACCAAGTGGTTAAGCACATGTCGCTGTCATTGATGACAAGCGTTGCACATCGTAATTCGACGTGAACTTGGTGAAGAATAGAAGTTGAAGGTTGACAGACACAACAGAATAGGTACTGGAGGCTAGAGGAGCCGTATTTGCGCCAGGGAAACGAATCGATTTCGGGCGACGATGGCTGCGCTAGTACTGCAAGGTTCGGTGATGGTATCAACGGTGAACGATCACCCTGCGGGTTGACGACGATCCTTCATTTGTGGTGCAGATAGTACGGGAGACGGGACAAGCCATGAGAACGGGAGGAAACGCTAGGGTCGCACCTAAGGCAGGGAAAGGTCCGCGGCGAAGAAGGATAAGCAAGGGGGATGGGGGAGATGAGGGAGATGAGGGAGATGGTGTGTGTCGTTACGGCCGCGCCGAAGGGTGTGAGATGAGATGAAGCCAATAGAGATGGTGGGTGGGCGAGCGGGATTGGTGAGAGGGATACCCACTCCCGAAAACCGGGCCGTCCTGATCTGCCGTGCTTCTCAAGGTACGTATCGAGCCAAGTTCCCCTCAAGTGACTGGTGAGTACGTACCGAGAATGGAGAACAAAGGGGTCCCCTTGTGCATTTGCAACTTACTCAGCCACGAGCTGACATAATACACATCGGCTGAAGTGGGGCATCCAGTTGGAGAGGAAGAAGGGGAGGAGACCCGTGCACATTTTGTGGGAATTATGATCAACCACAACGACGACTTTACCCAACAACAACAACAACAACAACAAACCATCCGCCAGTAATGTAGCAGACCAATGCATTGCCGTATTTCCTCATCTCAGCCTCCTTCTTGCTTATCCAAGGCTTATCTGAACTCTGGACCGATCTCACCCATGCTCGACACCATCACGACAGCTAGCCAAACTTCCTCCAGCTCACCTTATCTCGGAAAGAGATGTGCAAGAAACACAGATCAGAACCCACCCCAGACAACAAGAAAGCCATAATCACGAGCTGGGAGAAGGAAGCCAGGGTCAGATTCGAGCCACGAGCGGCACATCCTGCACAAAACCTTCGTGGCCCTTCAGGATTGCTCCTACCTATCGATATTTCAATGCAGGCGCAGGGTGTATCAACCCACACAGTCAGATCAGATCTGGGACCTCCCCCCGGCCCCTCCACACACAACACGCGGCACGCCTTACCATCTTGTCTTGATTCGTGCCCACTCACATTTCCACCCTGACAGTGGCCAGTCTTACTCGGTTGTTTCTATTTCGTCTTTGTATCTCCAAAGATCCTTCGAGAGGCTCAACTCCCTGTCAGGCAACCGAGCTTCAATCCTTTGATCGTGGCTTCCTACGACCGCTCGTTTGGTGGCAGGTAGGACAAAGCATTCTCAATGGCGTTACCTCGTGGTTCCATAGGTACTCAAATATCTTGTTAGCGCAGCTCGAGTCCACAGACGCCACATCGACGGCAGCGGCTTCGAGAAACACCTCCACAGACCAGCCCTGGCTGTGCGCATCAAATCAACGAGAGTCATGTTTCTGCACCCGAATATGGAATAATAACAACAATCATCAGACGCTGCAGAGTCGCTTTGCCATCTGCAGCCAATGGCCCAGACAAGAGAGATCCAATGTCGCAGCACAGGCCAACGGCATCCTAAAGGCAACTCGCAAGAGAGCTCACTTCAGCCTACTTGCGTCTTCAAATTTGGCTCAACTCTGAGTAATTCCAAAGTCGAGAGTCTAGCCAAAGTCTACATGTCACCACTCCAGGAATAAGAAATGCCAGGTCGGACGCAAAACTTCGACGAGCAAGTAAAGAAAGCGGCGACAGTTATCCGCCGCCACCACCCGCTAAAAATAAGCTCCTCGCGATGGGATTGGGTATTTCTGTCCTTACTAGCGCGCTCCTATCTCGCTCCCGGCTGCTATGCGGCTAGAAGTACCTACTGGCGCATGTGGCTACTGTGAGAGCAATGTGGGATAATTCCTAACTTTGGGTCTTTGCCAGCTCAAGCTTGTGTTGGTCAGACAAAAGTCTTTTTGTCCTCGTTTCCCTCTTTCCCGAGTTATTTGCGAACAACAAACGATTGATCCGAGACCGAATGCCATTCCGACTGGACCCCTATTCTGGCATCAACCTGGCATCAACCATCCGTATCACTACCTACCACGATCCATAGTCCACCCACCGCACGCGAAGATGGATGCCGTATCCACTGATCCGCCCAGGGGTGAACACGATTGGGGTTACCAGGGTCGTTGGTCGCCCTACCACTGCACACCTGCAGGTAAGGTTCTTCCATGTCGGTCTCGGCGCCTCTTGACAAGCTACGTCTCCCCCGCCTTGGACCGAGCGGGCGACTCATGGAGCACCTCACAAGCATCTTCCTGGGGGAGGAGTTATTCTCCGATCATCTCGCTCCACAGCCCAAGCAGCTCACGGGCTCACGACGGCTGCCTCACCTTCTTCTTCGCGCTGTTCCAAGAGAAGCGCTTGCACCATGACGCGAGAGCCTACCACCGCTCAGACGGTCGTCTAATGAAATGAGGAACCAGGGAGCATCTTCAGAACAGCAGACTGACGGTCGAAACGGTGACTCGGCATTTTCGTATTGCCAGCATTTTGCGAGGCCCTCAGGCCTAGGTCAACCCTGGCAACCAGTCTTCCGTCAGCCTCCCTAGGCTCGCTTGACAGGGACACAAGCGGCGATTGAGCCGCTCATGAGTCGGCCGTTCCTTGCCAACCTACCTGGTCGCACTGTTCACTCTCGGTGACCTTCCTACGCCTGAAAGACGACTCGATAGGCAAGCTGCTACCAACTCTTGTTTCCTATTTTCGGCCTGATGCGATGCGAGCCCTCAACGTGCGATAGAGACAGATACTTTGGCTCTCTGTCAGACACCGTTTCAGCGTCACCTAAAAATGCACAATACTAAGTACGAAGCCGCTGTTCCCGTTTTTCAGAACCATGCATTCTGAGCGGTGCTGCGGGCATTTGTGGTTCCCAATGATTTCAACTCAACTGCCGTCATCTCGTCCATTTCACGGGGACACTCCCGTATCCGACGTGGCCGCTCTGATGTGCGCTCATCGCTGCATGCATCTCGATGAGGAATCGGTAGCCCCGTTTTCTCAGATAACGAAGATCCGATGATGTCCTTACCCGCCTTCACGCGCTCTTGGGATGCGTTTCATTGCCCGTCATGTTCGCAGTATTCTTCGTGCCCGAGACTGCGAAGCCCCATTTGACCATTGCCAGCCACTACCGTCACCAATCCCGCCTTACGGTACCGGGCTTGCAGTTCTTGCAGCATCGTAATATTTCCTCGCATCTCGTTCCGCTGCTGCTTCAAACGTGGCTTGCCCGTCCTGCAGGTTGTTGAAGCGGCTGCCGAGTTACATTTTCCATCTTCGTCTTCACGAGACAACAACATCCAATCAGCTGACGTGGAGCTGGGCCATGTATTCGGTGGGCTCCGGCATAACGGCTTCACCTATCCACAAACCATCGGCGGGGACTTGGCCATCCTGACGCCCAACATCAGCCCGGCGCCGATCTTGACTCCCGTAAGCCCGGTGGCTTCTTCAATTGTCCTATGCCGCCGAAATTATTGCGACCGTTGGTATGCCGTCAAATCGTCATTGGGCGCAGAGCCACATAATTCCTTCTTTCTACAAATAATCTGACCCACTAATCACACTCAGTCTCCTCGCCGGCGTGTCAGGTTACGATCAACCTAAGCTAATCGACTTGGTCAGTTGCTCGAGCCTACTTCTAATCCACTTGTGCCTAGCAAAAGCGCCTTGCAGTCCACTGAACCGAGTTTCCCGGGCTCCACGGCTTTGCTTCAGGCGACCCGAGTTGCTATCACCAAGCCCTTTTTGTGGTCTAGTATCCCAAAGAGGAAATAGATCGTTTATTCTACGAGCCGCTCAGACGGGTGTTTCCCTTTCTGTCAAACGACTTCCTAGACAAGACAGCTGAACACCATCAAGTTGTTGGCAGGGCAGCAGACAGTTGTGACAGCCGCCACTTGTCTCCAGTTACGATCACGACACAATCGCAGGCCGTATAGGGCAATTGCAAGAGACGTCGAAACATTTTGGACGCCGTTGATGGCTGTGTTCTGTGCTTGACCTTCCTAGCAGGGAAATACTCTGAAAGACACGAGGGGGGGGGCACTGATCGGATGCTACCAGGCAAGGACTTCAGCTGAAACGAAACAACACGGATCTATCCCTGCTACCAGGCCGCCAACGCCTGGCATTCTGCTGTGTCTGCCCTGTCTTTGCGAGAATTAAACGTACGAATACGCTACGGTATCCTGATGGTGCGTGCTACATCGCAGAGCATCGCAGGAAGGGAAGCCGTTGGATGCATGAGTCGGCGACCTCACTGACAACGTCGTCTTGTCGTTGCCAGCGCTCGTCCTGCACGTCCAAAAGTTGACGTCCATGCCATCCACAGTGGACTTGTTCCCGGCCCGCAGTGACGGATCACACAGTTTATCAAAAAAGAATCCATCAAAAACCTCATCCCACCAGCGAGAGGGAAGAAAATGTGTTCTGGGCCGAGCGTGCAGACATCCGCAGTAGCGTGAACGACTTCAAACAACGGATTTCGAGCAATTCTGCAAGCACTTAACCTATATCGAGGCTGGAGATGGACGGCATACGAATCGACCAAGCACCGCCAAGGGAGTTGAGGATTGGTGAGCATTGCAAAGGATCAAAGTTAGAAGTAATTGGCTTTTCCTGATCGATCACGATAATCCGCCCATTACGTGGGTCATGTCAAACGTCGGCGCGCGTACTCGGCGTGCGTACTCGGCTCGCAAAACCCGTCAGGATTGGACCCTTGCGAGAGACTGTCGACAAGCGCGATTGTCTGCCCGTTTTTGACTCCTCCATGCGAGCGCGCGTGGTGCCAAGTGCCCCCACGGGAAAAGATAGACACGCCTCGACACGGTAGAATCTAGACAGACGGGGCCTGTCATCCCAGAGATTGACAATGCTGCCATCAGCGACACCACATGATACGGTGTGGCAATGGAAACTTGAAGGGGGGTTGCCTATTTTGGTAGTGTCAAGGAGAAGTCTGACGCCATTTCTTCTGCCAACTTGACTCCTGTCAATGTTTCCGTTGAATTGGAGACAGCTTGGTGACAGGTTGTCTTTTGGTTGTGTGACAACTCCTCTGGTTGTGACACAACCCAAAAGCGAAGTTATGGCCGGCCGGCCGACACGACCGAGGTCTTACGAAGGTGTCGCGCATCAACAGCACATTGTGCCGTCTCCGCTGCCCCTCAGCCAGGGTTTTGAGGGACATCTACAACGATTGGGTACTTGGTACGAAAAGAGAGCATCTCCCCCAAGCCGGGGCTCTAATACCGAGGCCCGCATTACCGGGATTCCTTCTGGGGATCGCCCGCGCACCCTTTGCATTTTCCGAGACCTGCGTGCTTGGGGCGCAGCGGAAGACCCTCCTACTCGTTCGCTTGTCGGTGAGGACTTCTGAGGTTCCAAGACCTGACTCCTAAGAGGCGAGTGAGGACAGATGAGTGTGATTTGGGGAATGCACCCGCCGCGGGGCTTTGCAGGCTTGCAGCCCACGCAGCCCAACAGGGCACCATGTCTCGAAAGCTGACCACCTCGGTCGGCCATGCATAATAAGCAATGACGATAGCTGGGGCTGGTGGGTGGGTAAGTATACCAGTTGTGGGCAGAAATTATAACGTCTTTTTTTTCTTTCCCCATACATCGTGAAGAAATTGGATATGGATATTGGGACTTTGGAAAGTGGAAAAATCAATGACAATGTGGATTTTGCTCGTGGGTTTTGGAGCAAAAAGGATTCTACATGGATGGGGATTCAGATTCAGCCGTGATTCCTCTTGTCTGCTTAAAGACTCAGTATTACCGCAATCGGAGAGAATCTGACATCTTGCCACTTCGTTGCCTCTATCTAGATCCTGAGGAGGGCCTGGATTTCAACAACCCTTGACCACTGAAGTTCCTGAATACCAAAGATCCCTTTTTGGTCCCGCACGCGTAGGCATCCAGCATTTGCTGAAATTGATTGATTGCGTCTTTTTACCTCCTCGGTCTAAGCAAGAAACAGAACCCTTGGCCGTGGTTGCCTACAATGCTCGTATCATTTCCATAGATTGCATATGCGGATGCGGGCAAGTCATTGTGAAGCCCGTTAAGGGATGGGCCACTTCGTCTGACAAGCATGGAGCTTTCAGCAGATCGTAAGGCATGTCCTTCCCGCCGCTTGTTCCCTCTCTCTCTCGTCGCCCATTAGGAACCTAGATGTACGTTGATGTAATTGACTCGTCTCGTGTCTTACATGGGCAGAAAGGTCCCAAGATGCCTTGCCTTGCCTTGCCTTGTGCCGTGCCGCGCCGTACCTCGCCTTGCCTCGCTTGTCAGCTCGTCATTCGTTCGCGTCGCGAGGGGGAAAAAGCGTTATTGAAAATAGATTTTGTTCCCGAGATCGCGAAGGGATGGAGGGGTTTTCGTTTCGTTTTTTTGGACTAAAACCCCATACCCGCACAGGTGCAGATGTGCAGAGAGCGATGCACGGCGTTCTGCAGAGGCGCATTTTTTCGCTCGACCGAGGCCGGCATATGATGTTGCGTGTGTGTGACGAGAGCGCCACAATCTTTGAGTAACGGTCGTACCAAGGATATGCGGGATGGCGGGCGGGCGCGGGCGGCTACGCTTGTGTGAGGTTCCCGTTGGTTCGAAGCTATTGGGATTTTGGGATCTTTGGAAGTTGTGGTGTCGTGTCACCCCAGTTCGAGCCCTTGGAAGGTGCCCACGTCAGCTTTCAATTCCCAAGCCCAGCCCTACGGGTCTTTTCTGGTGATGGGCCATCGTGGTGGATGGAAATGTCAGCTCAGGGCTAAGCATCCTTTCGACGAGGGCAGCCTGGAGGATGGGAGATAACGCCAGGCCAGGTACAGGTCCCAGGTATCTCGATGACCTTGCCTTGACTTGACAGAAGCTGAGGTCTGTTCCCACCATCCCGCCGCTGTCAGCTGGTCTTCCGTCTCTTGTCAAAGCCCATCGCCTCGGTAAAGGGACCCCGTCCGAGAGCAGAGTGTCTGTCGAGATTTTGATTCTTTCGTCTTCTGCAAGGCTGAAGCGAAAAGAGCGTAGTGCCTCTTGCCGCCTCTCCGTTCCTCCTCCGCCTTCCTCCATCGAGCGATGATGCAAGTGCGCGTTGCTAGGGTCGCCGAGGAAACCGACCGAAGAGGACCGACCGAAGAGGACCGACCGACCGATACCGATGAGGTGGGTCCCCATGCCCAATGGTCCTCCTTCTCCCTGCCGAGGCGCTGGGTGCGAGGCTCTTGGGGAGTTGCCCGAGAACACCGAAATGTTGGAGCGGCGGGAAACGACGTCCTTCAGAGGGTGAGAGGGAGTCGAATTCCCACCACTGAGCCAGGCGAAGATTGAAAGGTTGAACTTCGGTACGGTACCTGCAGCACAAATTAATTGGGCAATTTCTTTTCAAAGTTGAAAGAGAAGGTACTCTGCAGATCAAGGGATAGGTTTTTGGAAATGTCCGAGTTATTCCTTGTCTCGCTGTCGGTAGTGTCCCACGGACAATTTGAACGGAGTTGACAACTTCGGACCCCCAACTAAGGGTCGTTGCGCTTCGGACGGAGTGGGAGCAGAGCTTCGAACGAACGCCACTAAAGTTCCCAAATTCTGTCTCTTTTTGTACAGTTTGTCCAATGTATTAACGCCCGAATAGACTGTGGATTACGGACACATTAGCTGCGGGATATTCAAGATAGGAAACATCTCACTGTTGCATCGTCGGGCGAGAGCCCCACGGTTTTCGTACAAGTCGTTCTTGCACAGCGGGAAGTTCGTCCATTTATCCCGCGCTCCCGTCTGTCATCCCTTACTTGCCAGTCTTGAATATCTGGAAGTAATTGTCTCTGATGGATGTCGACTTCAAGTCTATCCTGGGACGTTTGCAAAGAGTTATGGTTGGCCATGGTTCAGGTTGACAGCTATCAGAAAAGATAGACTCAACGGACTATGACACCCATGATGTCCGGAAATAAAATTGTCTGTGTTAAAAAGAAAAGAACGCAAGCAAGCTTGACAAGTCGTTGTGCCTTCAGAACCTGGTCGACAACGCTAAGCCTTTCGCGGCTCGGTAACATGCTGATCGTCAGGTCTGGGGCATGACCAAGGAGCCGCAATATCGACGACGGGACGTCCAGGGTAGGAATAGCGTCGTCCCCCGGACGGACGTTATGCGCGCGGTGCTCCTTCTACTTGCTCTTGCAGGACCGGACGATGGCGTCCGGTGATTATAGGACCAGGTAAGAGGAGACCAACTCTGAATCCTTCAGTAGAGTTTCCATTCTTGGATTGGTTGTTTCTAGTAGAACCGTGTTCTCTAGTCAGAACAGTTCCGTGTTCATAGAACCCCTTTGATACAGATTCGAGTAGACAGTATAATCTGAAGTTGAGCCAAGTTGCTAGGTTGAATACCATATTCTGTCGTGTCAACCTCGGTCACTGTCGTTGTCCGATATCCAATACTGACCAGGGTCTCAATGCTGGAAATCAACATTTGCCGTCCGGACATTACAGCACGAAGACTGTGGTCTAGATGTTCCCAAGTCCGCAGTCGGTCATGTTTGAGATGTCGTGCCCGAGTTGACCGGTCTATCATGCCAGTAAGCGTCTTTCTCGTTACATTCTCGCTCCTTTGGGCAACAATGTCTGTAAAGTGTATCACACAACTTCCAGGATCTCAATCCATTGAGTTACTCTCCTGCCCGTCGTCTGGGCGATCTTGTCCTCCTTCAACCCCCCCCCTCCCCCGGACTCGGGCAACGGGGGTTGGAAGCCGTCCCCTGCCTCGCCCTGCCTGCCAACCTTGTTCCTGCCTTTCGATGCCCCTGATCTGACGGGGTGAAGAGAACGCCATCAGGCTGACGATTGGGAAGGGGACAGCTTACGTAAATGGCAACATAGTTGTTGTTTCTTCTCAACTGCAGCAAGCAGGTCCCGGTGCGGCGCTCCGGAGTTGCGTGTTTCGTGCCACGCGTGTGCAGTCGACCACGGTGACCATCCGCAGTTCCTTGTATCCTTCTCTGGCACATTGACTCTGTGTTCACCCGTGTATAGAATCTATCAGCTTGTAGTTCAAGCAGACTGAAAATGGACTCTGGGCCGTTGACAACCTGGTTCCATCTGGTGATGATCCTGGCAGGTAAGCACGTCGGGGCCATGGGAATCTCGTATGGATTCGGCTGGTACTTTGTTATACCGTCCGGTAGCTGCTTTTCTTGGCGTCGGCCGGTTGCCTTGTCGACTCGGTGATGTGAGGGCAAGTCCGTACCCGAACGCTCCCTTTAGCTCCATCGTGGGGTGGTTCGAAGGAACGTGAACGACGACGCACGGTCGAGACGTCAACCGTCGATCAAATGCCCCTCGGATCACCGACATCAGGATGATGTTCAGATGGCAGCACTAGGCTTAGCCCCTTCCAATCCCCCTCTCTTGTCTTCGCGGTGTACCCCCTTGGTCCTATTGTTGTCGGACCTTTTGACTCTGTTACCATCTGGCTTGGTTCTTCTTTTGCTTCTTCTCCTCTTCAGACGCCTACATCCCGACGAAAATCGAGGATCTCTTCTCCCGATATCATAGTCTGGAGAAGCCTTACGCAAACGCGACGTCAATCTGAGACCCGTCACTGGTTATGACCGACCGGCGCCAGGAGGAACCATATAGCGCGGAGCTGGCCGACGTCCTATGAGGTTGAGATAGAGGGTGCGCCGAAAGTCAGCGAGAACCAGTCAGCGCAAGCTGCACTTGCACCTCTGAAACGCAGAAGTGAACGCCTCAGGAGGCATCCTCCCACACCCACTTGTTCTGCCGCCGTGGGAACTGGATGGAAATCAACCTTATTCATCCAGCCATACAGGACTCAAACCCACGCCCCCGTGATCAACGATGCCGCGCGGACTCGAAACACAGACGAACAAGTGAAAAGAGAGCTTTTCAAAGTAAGCAAGCAAAAGCAACTAGGCTCTTTTGTGGTCCGGACTAGAGTAAAGAGAAGCAGGGTAACGAGAGGGGAAAAGAGAGGCGGAGCTAGGAGCCAATGCAAGTCTGGAACGGACTTCTGTCACTAGCAACTTGGACAAATGAGAGGGGAGGACTAGGAAAGTGTTACATGACCTCTCGGGGGGGGGGGTTAAAGAAGCATTTAGGACTATATCGCGGTGAGTCGTTGATCTCTTCTTCTCTTTCGAGCCCCTGCTATGCACTTCCTCGTCCTTTCATTCCTTCTTTTCTCTTGGCCGGTCTTCTCGGTCATCGGATGATTCCTTGTTGACCGAGAGAGAGAGTGAGGGATATACAACATCCTGGCTTGAACTGCCGTCCGATATGACGACGACAGCAGGTTAGGCGATGATGGGACAAGATCGTCCGTTGAGTGACGGATCTCGTACAACACCCCCCCCCCACGGCATCTTAGCTTGCTGTGCCTCTGGTCTACCCCTGGTCGTTCTACCCTATCCACCTCCACTCTCTCGTCTATATATCTCCTCTGTCCTCCCCCGCGTCGTCCTCGCCCTCCATGTTGACGACATACCTTACCCCGCCACCTCTTCCGATGTCATCGAGTGCGGTGTTGACGAGGCGCGGGTCGACACTGGGGATTACTCTATGAGAGGGGGCTTCCAACTCGCCAGACAATAACCACTTGGGAAGAGCTGCGGCCCACAATTGATACACATCTGGATGGGCCTCGAAGGAGCCATAGATGTTGCGCAAGGAAACACCCCTTTCAGCCAAGGCATCAATGTCGGCACCAGCCAAGGACGACAACAAGACAATGAACTTCGGGGCATCGATGGAAACGGTGGGAAAGAAAAGGGAGGCAGCAAGAGTGGGATGACCAGATGCACATGCCTCCACGACATGCGAGGGAGGAGAACCGAGGATACGCTGGACTTCGGATGGCATGGAAGAGGAGGACCGATCAATGACATCAGTTGCCCCGTGGGTTTGGAGTTGCAAAAAAGGTATTGGAAGAGGTGTTTATGATGGTCTCGATACCAGCAACCGCCGCAAGTCGAACGATAAAAGTGCCGGCAGTTGTGCCTGCGCCAAGGACGATGACACGTGCCCCTCGGTACTCGAAGGTCGAATCAGTGCCAGGAAAGGGGGACCTCAGGCCAGATGAATGGAAAAGAGAAAGAGCCGCAGTGAAAGGGTCAGTGATCAACGTTGCAGCTTGAAGGGAGGATGTAACCCCTGGGACGGGGATCAAGAATTGAGTGTCGGCCAGAACGAAGGGTCCAAGCCGCCGACATGCAGTCGACGAAGATTCCCCTGAAAAAGGACCAGTGTACCGACAGACGGAAGAGGGATATCGCTTGGAACGATCGAAGACCCGTATTCGACGACTGTACCGACACTTCCGATGCCGAGCACCAAGGGAAGGCGAGAAGCATTGTTGAAAACGCCGAAGTCGCGGAGTTTTTGATCGAGGGCGAGAAGGGCAGCAAGAGGTTTGTCTATGGCGAGGGACAAAGAGACCTGAGGAACGTTGTCGATGAAGTCTAGCATGACGGATATCTTCATCGAATGAAGATTTCAAGAGATTGGAAAAGAAGGACGCGTGGAGAACCTGCTGGAGGAGCGGAGGCCCGACATTGACTTGACCAAGCAACAACTTTTATCCTTGAGCTGAAGTCGTGGAGTCGTGGGTTGGAACGCACAGGAAGGTCATGAACAGCTGTCGAACCGAGGTAAAAATCCTACAGCATGACGACTTGAGGATAGCCATCATGAATCTGGTCGTCGATGAACTGAAGTTAACAGAGTTTATGCCTTCGCCCCCGGTTTAAGAGATGAACGGCTCCGAGTCCGGCAATGGGAGGGAGGTGACCATCAGCAGGACGGAGCCGCAGGATAGGGCGACCAAGGTAAGGACGATCCAACAGCACCAGCAGCAACAGAAGTAGCACTGGGCATCTCTGCCACCATTCTTCCTCTTTGGCTGCTGCGTCCTTTGCGGTGGTGTTGCCGTCTGCTTCGCAAGAGAACCACGGCTGGAGCTGCGAGATCTTGACATATCGCCGGCAGTGCCAGGTACGCGAGTACAAGACTCTGTCGGCCAGTTGGGCGGTATGTCGTCAAGCTATCGGGTACCAGTCCGCACGGCGGCTTGAGTCGGACTACACTCCGGGGCGGGATTACAAGTACCGAATCCTGCTCGGGTGTCCTACTTGAGGTAAGTAATGCTGAGTATGTCTAGATTTGCGCTTGAAGGGACTTACAAGGACGATACGTAAACGTCTTGAACTGACTACCAGTTCAAAAGTCTTCGTTGTTTGTTCTTACTTCTGGAGCCAGTTCGCAAGTGCAGGTTGTGAAAGCTGATGCCTTCGAGGACAAGTTGGCAGGATGCACTTGCACCCAAGTATTTCTCACTCGAGCAACTTGAGCGAACCGGTTCCCATGACATTGTAGCTGAGCTCAGGTTCCGCACTGACTTCATCGTGGGTCTGAGCATGTTTGTGCTTCATGCGGCCCGGCGAAGACAGAAGGATGGGAGAAAGAACACTTGACACCGAGGCGCCAACTCTGGCCATAACCCGGATTCGAGCGCACACATGCCCGCATTCCATGCTTTATGAGTGCTAGGCTCAGGAGCTGGATCTCCGGGTCATCTGGAGTCTTTCCCGTCAGCATCTGACTGCCCACCCACAGAGGTTGACCGCACATCAACGGTTGCCATCTCATGAGACTTTTGTCATCGTCCACAAGCGGCCTGTTTTGAGTATGCAATACCAATCACCGCCGAAGACGCGAGGTTGCCTAGTGGTGCTGATGGTCGGTCTAGACACCACTGTTAGCTCGCATTTACTAGAATTTAACAAGTATATTCTAATTTATTTCTTGATATCAATCAACTTGTCGAGGAATTCTGGATGGTCGAATTGGAGTTGATAGTGATCCATACCAACTTGGAAATGAATCCATGATTTGGATCCACTGGTAACGATAATGATGCTTTGAATTGGGCAAGGTGTGATTGGTTCAAGAATTTGAGAGAACTACATCATGTAATTCACATTCTGCAACAGAACACAATTTTCGAATAGAGAGATAACTACCAGAAAGAAGTGTCGCCAAGCTAGTTCGACATTGAAGTTGCCTTCCATTGTATTTATGAGAGTGACGTCCTTGAGGTCATTGACACCGAAGGTGCCGGTGGGTGGAATGCAGATTATGACTAAGCACGGGTAATCTGCGGGTCCTCCACAAGCGCGGGTCGCATTTTGGTGGCAGCTACCGCGATTTCCAAGTCCCGGAAGCTTCAGTGTCCCCAAATTCCAATTCGCAAATCTTCGGAGCTTCAAATATCGGCATTGAGCTTCACCACATGCCGCGCTTACTTTGATTCGGTCTGGAGATGCCCAGGTATGCTCACTTGTAGCTATGTTTCCTGTCTTCAAAACTAATTGCTATCAAGAACCCTTCGCGCAAAGCACTGAACCCACACCATGAGGGCGCAATTAGCCCGCCATGTCTGCCGACGGGTCCTCGTTCCTAGGGGCAGCGTCCCTGCCTGTTCGATTCTTTCTCGCCCAGCTTGTCGTCACACACAGCTCCCGGTAGCATCGACGATATCCTTCTCTCGACGAGCCCAGCGACGGACGTTCTTTGGCATCCTCCAGAAGCCCCCGAAACAGATCAAGAAGCCAGAGTATGAGCCTGGGTGGACGACGATCTTAACATGGAGGAATCGCCTTTTGGAAAGCGTACGGCCGCCGTCGAGGACAGAACTGGTTGAGGCATTTCGGGACTTGTTTGCATACAAAGTGCGCTTCAACATCGTCGTCAACAGCACTCAGGCTTTGCACTGCCGTAACCTGTTGAGATACTTGCTCGAGAATAAGGACGACGAGCCGGGACCAGGCCTGACTTTGACCGAGTTGACGAATGCGCGGGAAGCGTTGCTGAAGCTGCCAAAAGAGGATACTAAAGACCATCTGGAGTTCTCCAGGCTCTTATACGATGCGATTAAGGAGGGACGAGCATTGGATTCAACAGATCCTGGTGCTGCGGAGGACTTCGAGTCGTATCTGGTTGCCCTGACCATATTCGGCGCATCTCCCGAGGCCTTCACCACCTTGCAGGAACACTGGGCTCAGTTACCTGAAGCAGATCAACCTGGCGCGCAGAATCTTTGGGTCAATGTCCTGCAGGGGCTGGCGGAGGAAGGCCGTGAGGCAGAGCTTGTGGCAGCTGTCAAAAAGGCCGAGAGACTCGGGTTGCCTTTCACGTCAAGTTTTCATGAGGTTATGACGACTTTCTTCGCCAAAAAGGACAATGTTTTGGAGACCAAGAAGTGGTTCCTAAGGCCAGCTCACGACAGCGAGCATCCAAGCCCCAGGACTTTCAAAGAAATCTTGCATTTTTCAGTGAGGAACAACCAACGCGGTTGGACAGCGCCGATCTTCAAGAAGCTTGTTGACGCCAACCCGAGCAAAGAGCATTGGGATGTCATCTATCAATGGGCAGTACTGTCCATGGGCAAGGGGCTTGATGACATCAAGGGCATGTTTGATGTTGTTGCTCGCCACAACCCCGACGATAGCGCCTTCCTGCCAGACACCCAAACGATCAATGGTCTGCTGGAGGTTGCGATTGAGAAAAATGACCCGTATCTAGCAGACAGGCTTGTCTCGTTCGCGAGCGAGCTCGGCATCCGGCCTGATGCAACAACATACCTTCTCCAAATGGACTTCAAGATCCGGGCAAAGGACTTGTCAGGGGCCAGGGCGGCATACATGCAGCTCCCAAAGGCGGATCTGAACGGAGAAGACGACTTGCCCCTGATCAATAAGTATCTGCAAGCACTGTGCTACCAAGCAAACCCGAATTCTACGGCGATACGCGAGATGTTGGATATTTTGGAGGACAGAATTGTCACATTGGATCCAGAGACAGTGGTCGCATTATGCACAGTCTTCCTCAAAAACGACCAGCAGTTTGAAATTATCGACACGTTGTCGCTGAACGTATTTCAACACAGCAACGAACAACGACGATCCATTAGAGATGCATTTGTGGCATACTGTTTAGACAAGAAAAACAGCACGGCGAGAGTTTGGGATGCCTATTCCATCCTCCGTCAGTTCTTCCAAGAGACCAGCGTTGAGAGCCGTCTCCAGCTCATGAACGCATTTTTCGACCGCAAGCGCTCTGACATGGCCGTCCATGTATTTGGACACATGCGGCAGCACGTCAACCCAACATTTCATCCCAATAGCGATGCCTACATTCAATGTTTTGAAGGCATGGGCAGGTGTCCCGACTTGGACAGCACGAAGTTGGTTCACAACATGTTGAAAATGGACACGAAGATCCAGCCCAGCACAAGGATGTTCAACGCTCTGATGATTGCCTATGGAGCATGCAGGAAACCGAGTCTAGGACTGGAGTACTGGCAGGATATTGTCCGTTCTTCAGAGGGCCCATCATACAACAGTCTCGAGATTGTGTTCTTCCTCTGCGAACTAAAGGCCTTTGGCGATCAGATTGCCAGGGATATCTGGAAGAAGATCGAGAAGATGGAGGTCGATGTTCCGCCGGCAGTCTTTGCCTCTTACTGCGGCGGCCTTGCAGGCAATGGCAATCTCCAGGAGGTGCAGAGCACAATCAGAACCATGAAGCGAGCTGTTGGGTATGGGCCTGATGCCATGACGTGAGTATATCCTTTTCATCTCTGCCAAATTTTGTAGCTAACCTCCGTACAGGCTTGGCATTCCATTTAACGCATTGCCTGGGCAAGGCTTGCAGCGAGAGTTCGAGGCGTGGGCCAAGAATCAGTTCCCAGAGGAATGGGCGGAGGTGGAGAAGTTCCGCTACTATTACACTCCCGAAAAACTGAAGAAGTTCAAGCTACAGCGGATGCTGAAGGCATGATGTGTACAATAAATACTGGAGGAGCTTCTTGTATCTGTACATTTATAATAGACGCCAAGATGTTGTACAATTCATACACGGGAGACACTACCAATGTCCGCAGACAAACCCACAGGCCTTGCAAGCCTTCCGAACCCCTAATTTGCTTCAAATTCTCTACTTCCACGACGCATTGAGGCGGAACCTCTTCTTCAGCAGCTCGGGGTGGTGGTGCACACTGGGGTGGATACCCATACCAATCGCTCTCCGGATTGCCTTTGCCATCTTCCTCTGGTTCGTCGGCTTCAGTCCCGTGTCCTTGTAGTGCCTGATCTGTCCGAAGTTCGTCATGTACTCAGAAATCATTGAGAAGTTCTGCAACACAGATTTAGTATCCCGAGGGCTTTGACAACACCATTTGAACATACTCTGTAGTGGTCAAGGGGGTTGATTCCCAACAAGTCAATGACATCAGTCGTGACGATCTTTTGCCTGCGCCATTTCTCCATCTCGAGAGGGCTGAGGTCGTGCGGCGCGTATACCTCTCCGGTACGCCAGCGACGCGGCATTTGCTTCACGTAGTCATCGCTGACCTTCTTCTCGCGGAGAGACTCGAGCATGGTGCGTTTCCGAGCTGCAGCTCCCTCCAAGCGGGCCTTGCTCCCGTTGTTGATGAGACCGCGGATACGGTCGGCTGAGTGCACCGGGGGCTTCTCGTCGAGGTTCAGGAGATTCTTAATCGGATCGGAGCCGGAGGACTCTGGGAAGCTTGACGTTAATTGTCGTGCCACAGGGAGCTGTAGGAGGGCATTGACGTACGGGCAACGACGGGAGTCGATGAGAACGGGCGCGCGATCCGGGCCATCAAGGCGCTCGGTGCCTTGATGGCCGAAATGAGTGGTAGTCTGGGAGGCATTGCTAGTTTTGTGAGGATTTGTTCGAATGTCCTAGCGAAGCGTGATGTGTCGCGAGATGTTGAAGCTGTCACGGGAATTTTTTGGTAGGCCGACGGAACCTCCCGCCCCACTCGTCCGATAAGCTTCCGCGGCGATAAGGATTTTTGTCCCTCCAGCTCCAGAACTTTTTCTTCTGCCGCGACCACTCGTCACCGTCGTCAATCGCCAAATCGAACTGGGGACCCGCGACGACAATAGCCCAACATGGTCCGCAAACTCAAGTATCACGAGCAGAAGCTTCTTCGGAAGCATGACTTCATCACATACAAGCAGGTACCGAGATCAACCGCACCCCGCCCGTGCAGCGGACCGAGGCGCATGTGCTAACGTTGATTACTAGGATGGCGATCACCGAGACGCCGCAGTGGTATGGCAGATTCCAGGAGAGAAGGAGAAGCGCGCGACACAATCTAACATGCGAATAGGTGCGCAGATACATGATTCAGAAGCCTGAGGATTATGTGAGTATCGCCGCCAACGCCCGCATCATGAACCATCGCTGACGACCGTGGACAGCACAAATACAACAGGCTATGCGGCGTAAGTTCACCGAATATGGCCCCAAGCCCGAGATCGAATACGCATCGAGACACAAACTGACACGGCTGTGCAGTCCATCCGTCAACTAGCACACAGGATCAGCCTGATGCCTCCGGAAAATGCGGCCCGCCGAAAGCACGAGCAACTGCTCCTCGACAAGCTGTACGACATGGGTGTTCTCTCTTCGGCCTCGAAGCTCTCGGCCATTGAACACAATGTCACAGTGAGCGCTTTCGCAAGACGACGTCTCCCAGTCGTCATGACTCGCCTTCGGTATGGAGAAAGAGACTTTTACAAATTGCTTCTTTGGGCATGATGCTAATGGAGATGTCGCAGCATGGCCGAGACCGTACAGGCAGCAACGAAGCTCATCGAACAGGGACATGTTCGTGTAGGCACGGAAACATGTGTTGATCCGGCGTTCCTGGTTACCCGCAGCATGGAGGACTTTGTGACATGGACCGTGGGCAGTAAGGTCAAGAGAAACATCATGAAGTATCGCGACAAGTTGGACGACTTCGAGCTGCTGTAGACGGGACGAAACACTTTCGGATGACTGGCTTGCCGCCATGGTGGGACTTGGCTTTGCGCAATATTTGAAGGTGTTATGGAGTTAAGGGGGGCTGGACATTGAGAAAAACATTCGACCCATCGCATTCGCAAGAGTCTACGTGGCGGGCCTTGAGTCAGCTTTGAGGCTTAGAAGACGATCTGGACTGGCGGAGATATCGGGAGAAATCCCTTTACTGGCATATTGCCCGATGCGCAAAGGTCAAGCAACTCGGACAGCTGGCGTTCACTCACGTGTGGCGGCGTTCTCTGAACAGACCATCATCAACAATCACAATTTGTCGACAAGTAGGTAGACGAAGGTTTCTACATTTGAGAATATTCCTTGCCGAACGCAACTTCCAAATGAGTCAACCGATGCCTATTTTCGACTCTGTCAGCTCATCACATCCGAAGGATACTGATGAATACGAACGAATCGCGAAGACTCTACGACCAATTCTCAAGGTTTCGTCGCAGAAGCACGTCATGCTGCAGGCTTGTGCTGCAGTGGGCGAGGAGATGAACACTTTGTGGACGGATGAAACGGTCGCAAAGGTTGGGCCGTATATCAGTTCAGGACTATGAGACTATCGCATGAAAACGAGGGCTGAAAGGCCTGGACGAAGGAGCCGAGGCCACTACCGAATCGGGAAATTATTGAGACGAAGCCGGGCAACTATATAGAGTCAACTCGCAAAAGAGCGCAATAGAGCAAGAGGAAATCCCGATATTGTCCAGGATGGGCCATGCAGTCCCAGCTCGGAACAAAACTTTCCTAACCCCGCAACAGACAAGAGAAAATGTGAAGAGTCGTCGGGAGATAACTTTATGAGGCTAAGAAGGGTGCTTTGCACGGACGCCTCTCGAGAAGAGACGCCGAATGGAACAATGGATTATCCCAGTCTTGAAACAGGGAATATGACCAAGTGATACTCTGAATCGACGTTCTGGATGGCAAAGATCCGATCTCCGCCAATCGTAGCTCGACTTCCGGCCGGTACCTGAGGTCATCGTCTACTGTTTGTGTCTAATGTTTTGCACCTTCTTTTTGCGCTGCGGGTGGTCTAAACATCAGCGCACGGGAAAAGCTGAAGACTTTGTTTGTTTGAACGGATGAATCGGGGCCGGGAGACTCCCCAGCCGCGACGTTCCCTGTGGCTTTCTTGGTGTCTGATATAATAACCGTCATCCCAAGAGCCTCCCCGTTGTGAACGATGTCACGTCCGGGAAGCAACTTACCCATTCTTTGATAATACTATAGTGCGCTGGTCGACTAATCACGCTCCTTTTCCCCCGCAAACAGTCGCTGATCCCTTGCTGAGAACGAACATATAATCAACGACGATCCTTAGACGTAATACTAGTTTCTTTCCTCGCAGACTTATCCAAACCGCAACCTCGGAACTTTCAAGAAGCCACACATCACGAACACGCGCAAGGACTCAAACATGTCTGCCTTGAAGTATGCCTTCCTGGTCTCGGCCGCTCTTCACACCGTTAGTGCCCATGGCACAGTAAACGGTCTCATGGCAGATGGTGTCTTGTAAGTCTAGGCGCGATATCTCACTCATCCAAAGTTCACCCTCACTGACCCGATCCTACCCCTCCAGCTATGAAGGTTACAGCCCTCAGATGCAGTACAAGAAACCCCCGCCACAAGTTGTAGGATGGTCCATCCCAAAGGACCTGTCAAACGGTTTCGTCGCCGTAGACAAGTACGCAGACGCAGACATCATCTGCCACGTCGGCGCGGAACCGGCACCGATCGCCGCAAAAGTCACAGCTGGCTCCGACGTCACCGTCTTCTGGACCGACTGGCCCGAGTCACACCACGGGCCGATGATGGACTACCTGGCCCCCTGCAACGGCGACTGTGCCAATGTCAACAAGGCCGACCTGCAATTCTTCAAGATCGACGCCGTCGGCGTCGTCGACGGCGCCAAGGCGCCCGGCAAGTGGGGTTCGGACGACATGCTCTCCAACAACAAGTCGTGGACGATGACGATCCCGGCAAACATCGCTCCCGGCCAGTACGTCCTCCGCCACGAGACGATTGCGCTGCACGAGGCCGGTCGGGAGGGCGGCGCGCAGAACTACCCCCAGTGCCTCAACATTGACGTCCAGGGCGGCGGGTCTGAGAAGCCCCCCGGTGTCAAGGCGACGGAGCTCTACAAGGCCGGCGACGAGGGCATCAAGTTCAACATTTACGAGGATAACCTCGACTACCCCATCCCCGGACCACCCATGATGGGCGCCGCGCAGAAGCCCACCCGTCGGCGGAAGAGGGTGACGGTCATCTATTGAGGAATGTGAATAGGGTGGCTCACTGGCTTGTGTACAAATCGTGTGACTGTTATGTATTTGTGCGGACGAACATTTCACGACGCATGATGGGATGGGATGGGATAGGGCGGAAATCGCTGCTTTTCTGCGTGGGCTCAACCAACTTCTTGACACGCTGGTCGTGCAAAGTCTTTCCTTTGAGTCTCATGTTTCCTTCACGAATTTTCGATGTCCTTGGCATACCACCTGTGTATAGACAGCGGTCCTGTGAGATGGGGTTCACGAGCAAGCGAGCATCCATGGGCGTATATAAATCTCGCCATGTATCACTACTGTAACATCTGGTTCTTGTGAATGATAAAGTGTGAATGATTTCACGAGGGAGCGTGAGATGAGCGTGAACTGACAAATATGTCTCTTCGCCACTATAACTATCTGCCCACTCCTCTTTGGAATCTGTCTCCATGAAAGGTTGGGACCCTAAGCCTGCGTTGCGATTCGTCAAAGTATTCGGCCGTGATGAGTACTCATGTCCGAAGGTACAGCTCCGTACCCGAATCTGAAAACCTCGCGCGCCCAAAATCTTTCTGTTCTTTTCGCCGCCGGTTTCAGAAACACTTGCTTTCTCCCTCTCGACGTTGCCGGGAACCGAATTCCGCGTGGGCCCTCTCTCTTTCTCTAGGAGAGGGGGCCGGACGCTGTGCGGGCTGCGGTACTTTGCCCCTCGACAAGGGTCACATGGATGTCCGAGGGGCCCCGGACCCGGCAGATCTACAAAAGAAACACGAAACTCTGAAGCACGGAGGACCTTCTTAAGAGAACTCACATATTGATCTGCAACGGTGGTGAGTACGGATACGGAGTACATACATACCCTCACTCCTGCCCGCCTCCCCGTCTGCGTGGCCCCGGCGATTATATCAGCTCTGTTATGTTTTGTTTCTATGGAGCTTTGGTCATGCCACGGCTTGTAGGTTATCAGCGTTTGTATGATCTACGGGCGCACCGACTGCAAAGTTTGGCGAAGATGTTTCGCGGGACTTTGCGTGATGCCGAACATTAACTGTATTAAGTCATTCATTTGTCTCATTATAGCATATTGAGAGGAAACTCCATGTTCCTCACTCAGTACGGAGAGCTCTTGTTTCTCACTGCACGTTTGTCATGAGGCTGATCAACCGCGATGCTCCTAGAAGCCCCTGGTTTAGTAGAGATGGCTTCTTCCCAGTAACCTCCAAGGCTCCTTCAGTTGAACTGTATCAAAAGTTCGGAGGTATGGACGTTGTCTGGTTGCAGGGATTCATATGAGACAAAATTCATGAGTGCCTAGGTCAGTCTGGGGTTTCCCGTCTTTGCTCATCAGACTTCAAAGCCTCCCACGAAGGAAAAGGGGTAGATGGGGTGTGGGTTCATTGAGATCATGATGATCCATATCGTAGAAGACAAATTGAACATTTCCTCTCCTATCTCCATGGCATTCCTGTCTTTGCCGAGATCTTGTCAAGCCAGGATATTTCAACTACCCTGCCGTACAAGATTGAAATAGCGATTCCTCTTGATTCAGAGAAACTAATCAAGATACCCTATTTACGTATGGTGTGTAGTCCGGAATTGCCGGTAAATTCATCGTCACTGTTTCTGACAACACCTGTAAGAGTGGACAAAATGGACGTTCAGGGGCATCGATCATCGGTTCAAAATTAGCAAAGGTTATATATCTCGTTTACTTCCATGGGTTTCGTACAGGTGAGCGTTGCTGACGAGTGCTTAGACAGTTTGATAGCTGATCTCGACGCAGAACCCGTGTCGTCAATAAGAAACTGCAGACATCTCGATAGTCCAGGTAACCAGGTCGGCCCCGGACACTCAAAAGCAATTGGACTCGGTCGGCCAGATATTCCTTCTCTAACTTATTCGTTTCACTTCAACATGAGCAATTTGCTTCGAAGCATGTACCGGCTGCACGTTTGTCGCGTTGAAGAAGCGGCAAGTAAAGTGGCTGGCTAAGCTGGTGCAGTGAGAATACCGTCCCGGTATGGAAGTAATAGAGATCGAGTGTACATAGGCGCTGCCAACACAGCAACTTCGTCCGTCCCGTTGCAAACGCAGCAAAAGTCCAATAAATAGCAAGAGAGCGAATCGCTCCTGCCCTACTTACTACAACAGAACGTTGTCTGCACTCCCTCCATCAACCAAGCTGTGACGACTCGGCAATCGGCAGGCACCATCTTGACACCCCCCCTGAATAGACCGACCATACAGCCTCAATGAATAAATATACAGACAAAATTGACAAAAAAAAAGCTCGGTCATAGAGTTTTGAACCCTATGCCTACGAAAAACCAGCGTCCCAGTTTCTTCTACCCGTTTAACCACCAGGCTACGTGGCCCCGGCCGAGTCGGACAGGACCTGGGAGATGGTCGTTCTTTCGAATATGTGACCTATGGACCTTCTACTCTGTCCGCCTCATGGATTCTAGGGACCTAAATTATGAGGCAAACCGGGAATATGAGCTTTCGCCCTCGTCGTAGCCAGTACCTATTGATATGAATCGACTCTAATCTCCCCGTCGAGGGAGGTACGCAGTGCTTTATTATGATACTCTATAAGCAGACGAAAGCTAGGGTCTACGAATTGCCTCACTTTACTTTTCAATATAATTTAAAATTATTTCGATCTAACTACTAAATACTTCCTCCTCCTTCAGAAGGGATCGTCTTTTATTTATGATTTATTATTCGTTACTTAGAGGGACCTAAGCCGCTATTCCAGCTTGTCTTGGACAATTAAAGATAGTATAGACTACCGGGGTTTTAAATTTAAAAAGAAAAATACTAGATCGCTTTACATCGCTCGTATCTGTCTTGGGATTATACTTGCAAGAATATGGACAATCTGATAAGCGACCATCGGCTTGTATACCCTCACTTCCATTGCACCCGTGTCCCTAGCGGATAGTCCTGATTGCATGACCTCTCAGGCAGCTGTACAACTGTCGTACAAACTCTCAACGAACTGCTTTACTTGTGTGCTGCGCTCTAAGTGTTGTCGCTCGTGAGACATCACTGGATATCTATTTAAGTATGCCGGGCACAGGAATATGTTTGGCAGAACTCTCAAGGGGCTGGTAGTGTTGCTCGTTTCTCATAGAAATCTAATTTCTTGCGTAGCCGCTCCATAACTTCTAGACGCCACTTTCCTTTAAATGCTTCAGGCTATGACATATAAAGTAACAGAAATGAATGCAGCGTTGAAAAGCAATTGTCAACATCTGCTACGAGAGTCTTGGGCCACTTTACCCTCCCCACGCAGATGCCGTTCACGATGCGGGAGCTAATACAGTACCTCGAACATTGGATCCAAGAAAAAAGAGGTGTCCTGTGACAGGCTTTCTCGTCAGGCTGTGTGGTAGCCGACGGCTCACCGGAGCCGACGTGACAAGGCCCTCCTGAAGCCCACGAAGATGCGCGAACTTGGAATCCGTCCATGCTCAGAACCCGCTACGTCTCCTCTGAAAGTGTGATGTTGTCAAATGAAATCAGTGAGCTATACGGATTCAGCTATTAGATTCCTTCAAGACGACGTGTTCAATTGAGCCAACTGCAAGTAGGGCTCCCCGATGGTTCTGTTAGACTACATCCATTACGGAGACACAGTGAAAGCAGATGTAGCGAGGAGCAGGACTAAAACTTCAAGGAGCATTTCTGGGCAGTTGCAAATTTTCTCTACGATTCCCAGTTCACAGGCCTACAGAACTTGGACTTCGGCGCTAGCAACGCAAGGTAAGATATCACGTCAAAATACAACCCTCGTCTCTCGTTGAACGGAGCTGAGGATTGAAGTGAAGCAATTACTATACTGACTGTAGGCCAGCTGGTAGGAGTTCGTCACCCTTCGAGCCGATAGAGTGGTGTCTTGCGGCACTCTCACGCGAGAGGGGACGTTGTGGACACGGCGGCGAGTCCTCAGGATCGGGAGGCTGTCTTTCAGCGGCGCAGATGTGCGTCTTCAGGGACGTGTTTGGGGACGTTCTGTAAGTTGCTCACTCTCAAATTTCTCAACAATTTCCTTGACCACGAGGGGAATACCGCCTGATTACGAGACGGAGACATGTTGTATGTGAAGCAGCGCATCATTTCAGGCATTGAACCGAATTCACTATGAAATCACAACATGAAAATAGCTGCCGCTCGAAGCACCGATTGTCTGACTTTGCTGCTCCATACATTTCCACAGTCTGGTGGAGTCGTAAACCGTCGAACTCGCGCATCAACTGGCGACGCGTTAACGGGAACGCCCGGATGCCGAGAGAGAGGCGGACTTTGCCCAACATATCTATGGGCTCAGGACATTGAGATGGCTCCGGATAGTGTCAGTATCAATTTAGTATTCACTCTTGAATACGATGTAAATGGCCGATAAACCTAAATAGCCCCTACTATGCCATCGATACTCAGTTGCCCTTTCATCCCAACGAACTCTAACGAATGCTTATCGTGTCATGAGAAGCCCATCACTATTGCCAATGGATATAACCCTTCAGTAGAATTGGGAAAATTCAAAGCCATTTGGCCGGTAATGAAAGGAGAAAAGCTAGCTTGAGAGGCTTTTATACGGGCCTACCTAACTACCTGCCTTGGCTCGAATCACATCTCGAAGGTGAAGTAACTTAGCTCTCAAGGGCACCTCGCAAACCTGCTGATATCGTCTCGTGTTGCCAATGTCGATGAGATCTCAAGCATGTAATGTCGTGGCAGCTCCTCGGCAGCGCCTGAAGCACAACGACGATGGCGATGCCATTTGGCTTCCACACGATAATTCCGCAAACCAGTAATTGCGAGAGAGAGATAGGTATCTCGTAATGAGCGTGTTCCTTCTTTCCCCTCGTCTGGATCTCTTCTATCTCTCATAAGGTACTATATAATGGACCCTACCGTACCCCTTCTACATTTCGCCCTCCAACCGTTTGCGGTTGTTCGACCAGCGCGGCGCCACATGCGAAATTTGCAGCTTCAGGCCGGCATGGTCAGAGGCCCGGTTTCCCTGGGAGTTGATAGCTTGCCCCGATACATTGCTCAACATTATGGTCCTGCGCTTATTATTATCCCACAGCCCTATCTCACACATAGCTCAAAGCTTCTACTCATTTGTGTTTCAGTTTGTATTCCTTCTTGAATAAGTGATAAGCCACGGGCAACGAGACATACTATTGTTGAATTCTTGTCCCTCCACGCTCCCTCTGCTCAGTGCACTGATATCTCGCCAAGGCGAGATATCTGAAGGGAGACTTTTTTTTATCAAATCTGCCCAATGATCTTACATCCTTGACCCCAACTTCATTGCTCCCACGACAAAGAATTGCCCTCGACGCATTGTCCCGAGTTCCTTCATAACAATGATTGCCCTCGTCCTTGAGAAATAGTAGGTAAGTAAGTATTCTGTTCGCGGTTGGAGCGATCCTGCGGACATACGGGCCTTCCTAGATCACCGCCATAGCTTTTCAAGAGATTCATCGTGGATTCTACAGAGCCTATGGACGCGGCCGTCATCATTGCTTCGTGGTAATCACGACACCGCAAGCGTGGTATAAAGACGCTTCCCAGTTTCAAACAAACTTTGCTACCAAACCCATACAAGTGGCAAGCGTGCATTTGCAGTGTGCTGGATAATGCAGTTACGAAAACCCTCACCAATCCAGTACAGCTACGCACTTGCTTTTGACGCGCTCAGCGTTAGCACCATTCATTATACACATGGCCTACCTCACCTGAGACAAGTTGCCCAAGCCCCTGGCTTCGATACTTTCCCTGGAAGCAATCAACACCCGTTGAGCAGAAGACTCAGTACATACGTGAAGGGTTCACGGTGACACGAAGCACGGGGCATGGTCTCGGTTCCTTACAGCACTTGTGATTTGACTTCTTTTTGATGAGTCCTGGCTACCAATACTGTAGTGGCTACAATAGACATGAAACGCGCAGCATTGCGCCTCAGTATGAACAACTGTGGCTTCCTGTCTGCGGGTGGTTGATGTTTCACCGAAGATCCTTCGCATCTTCGATTATTCCCCTGACCTATGCAACAGACCGGCCCGTTTCAACACCTGCCAGTCCTCCCTCCGCCCTTATCCCAGACGTTGACCGTCTCTCGTAATGTGTCGATGCAATGGTGTTTGTGTATTCCTCCCCCGCTTGTATGCTCTGTGGCTTTGATGGAAAAAAAGAAATCCATTCCCAACTCAAACATGGTATCATTGCTGTGCTTTCCCTGAAACGCCCCTTTTGGTGCCTCGTTGTAACGCCGATGAATGAAAAAAGAGTTGTGAAAAGGAGGAGCTGATCGTGTGACGATTACTCCTAGTGTTGATGGTGCGTGATGGTATTAGTGCCTAGTCATGGCCGTAGGCGGGCTGGTAACGGCAGGCGGCGGAGTTGAAGAGGATGTGGAGCCGGTAGCTGTGCCGTAATCCGGAGGCAGAGAGCCACGGCCGACGCCTGCTGTGCCGCCGATGGGCGGGGGCGGAGGCATGGCACCTCTCGCAGTGTGCTCAACGTGTGCCATCTCGAAGCTGCCCTCACGGGCGTAAGCCTGTCCCGGCTTCGCCTTGGGTTCGTAGGCAGGAGGAGCCTCGCCGAACTCGTCCAAGCCCTCGTCGCTGCGAGTGGTCCAGGCCCAACGGCCATTTCTCGACGACCGTTGGCCTCTCTGACGATTCGCTTCCAAGTCGCGGCGGGGCCATGGACGCTGGAGGCCGAGTTTGCGGAGACGACGGCGGCGTTGGAACTGAACAAGAGTTGCGATGATGCCGAGAGCGAGGAAGACGATGAGTGGTGTGAGAATCCAGGTGTAAGGCATGTTGGAGAGCGAGTATGAGTTGCCCGTACTGCCGATGGAACCATCAGAGGAAGACATGATGGATGTTGGAGGTGGGTAAAGCGAGTGAGGGGTTGGCTGAGTTAGAAGAGAGCGAATAACCAAAGATCGTCGAGCTTGGAGATCCGCGATTGGAGGGTTCAAGTAGGCGTGGCAGGAGCGATGACTGCCAATCGATGGGGTTTGTGGTGAACGAGAGTTTTCTTTGGGTCGATGTGCCGAGATGACTTTGCGTCGTTGACTATTCTTGGAACCAAAGGGAAGGATCCTTGGCGTAGTATTGAACGGTATTACAAAGGCGTAAATGTCGAAACAGGGAAATGGTCGAGGTAGCTATGGTGGTGCAAGGGCGAGACGTTGGTCTTTCACGTCATCATAGCGTGGCTCAGATTTGTCGGGAATTCGCTAGTGCTGTCTCGATCCAGCAAGCTTTCTGATAGCTGTGAACCTGTGGCAGGTGCGGTGGAGCGGATTGAACGGAACAAGCTGCAGGAGCAGGCCGGGAGATACGGGAAGGTGACGAGCTGGTGGGAAGAGCTGGAGGCTAGATTCGAGAGGTTCGGGGAATTCGGGCGCTTGATGGGTTGGTGGTTGACGCAAGCAAGGAGGGAGCTTGCGGGCTATGATGATTCAATGGGGTTCGTGTTGCCACTGGTCGGTGGATATGTCGGGTCCAGTTGTTTTCTTGTCTTGCTTGCAGGCCGCCGGGGGAATGCAGATCGTTGCAGCACTGTCGATGTACGGATAGATGTCGATTGGTTGGGAGTTGACTCTCAAGGGAGGGCGAGCCGTCAAGACAAAAGATTGGAAAGAAAAGAAAGGAAAGGAAAAAGAGCGAAAGTCGAAGGGAGAGAAAGGAAGTGAGAAGAAATGGTGGCGGGAGAGAGATATTGGATATTTGGCTGTGAAATGCCAAACACGACTCAATAGCGGAGGAGGTGAAAGTGGGAATTCCAGCGGTGCAGGGGCTGGAAGGAAGGAACCGAGAAATGAAGCAACGCGGGCGGACAGGGCAGGCTGGCTGGACGTCCAAATGCGTGGTGGTGTCGTGGTGGTGAGGCTGGGAAATGGCTGGTGTTCCAAGGTTAGGTTGGGTTGTTCTGTAGGGCGAGACAAGGTTGGTTGACCAGGTAGTGTGTCCGTAGAGGGTTTTAGACGTGCGATTTTCGTATCCGATAGCTCACGAGGTCGGAGGGGAAGCTACTTTTAATGAAAGTCGGTAGCCAGGCACAGGAGGAGGCTAACGATGCCCTTTGGAATGGATAAAAAAGAAGAGACGGCGATGGGCCTAGGGCGCAAGAGGAATGGCCGAAGACCTCGGGAACTGCGTGCGAATGCGGACGGCTCCCGTGTGCGATTGCGAAGGGTGCTGGCGGTATCCGTACTGCATAAAAAGGTATAAAAAAAAAAGACAGGATAACCAAGGGTTTAGGACTCAAGAGACGACAGCCGAGGGAGGGAGAGACGAGGCGATCGAGCAGATGGGAGGATGTATTTGGGACGAAGGGATGCGACGGTTGGGCTCTATTGATGAGCTAGGTATTACTCCGTACGGATTCGCCGTTCACGATCATGTGTGCGGCTACGGATACTTGTTGCATATGAGATATTAGCCTGTAGGTGGCCGCGCAAATATTTGCACGTCAAGTGTCAAGTGTAGTGTCGAGGGTGATTACATGCAGATGGTGAGGATAATTTGCTCCGTATCCAGTGGACAGCTGCAAGTGCAAGGCACGCCGCACCACGGCACCTAGAGGCTAGCAAATGTGGAAGCGGGAATCAGCGTTGCATCTCCTCTGGAGAACGGGGGGGGGGGCGCTGCGACGAGAGCCAGTCAAGATTCAACCCCCCGTCAAAACAGGAGGCACCCCTGACGACGCGATGCCAATCCTTAGGGGAAGGGAAGCCTTGGCTGTTTTTTTGGGGATGGCACGTCATGAGCAACATGTCGCAGTATCGAGTTGAGCAAGGCAACGTCTGCATCGACTGTTGAAGGGATGAACCGGTCCACCGGCCGAGTGCGAAACCGCGAAACAGATAAGCATTTTGTTGTAGAGTTGTTGGTGCATCTGATAGGCACAAGACACCGGTTGCTTACGTGTTCTGCCATTGCTATGGATTCCCGTTGTACCTGCCTCGGCCCTTCACAACTTTTGCAGCACACCTGGGAGTTTAGGATCCCAAGTCAAGATTCGGGAGAGGTACCTCGTCTGCCCGCCCTGCATGGCGGCTCTGTGAGGTACCCACACCCGAGGTTCTCCGTCTCCTCCCAGGTGCAGCAGCTGGTGCATCCCGTCGGACCTGGCTTTCCCACATTCCCTTCCTCGGAGCCTTTCCTTCAGCGTGCTACCGGTACCTTAATAGGTAATAATACTGCTGCGTACCTAGCGTCGGCATGGCTCTCACAATCTCCAATCTCCATCGTGACTCGCTGACACCTCGCACATCGCGGCTGTTTCAGAGACTCCTCGCTTCGTTCCAAATTGCATAAGCTACCGCATGTCAAACAGAAAGCCAAAAAAAAAAAAATCAAAAAAATTCTAAAAATTTGCAAACACTTATGCAAACACACACGCAGAAGTTTTCCATTCTTATCAGTAATCCAGTGTCCGTAAACATCCGTCGACTGGGATGGGCGGCCGCAGCCCACAGCCCGCAGGCTCAGCCCAGTTTCAGCGACTCGCACTCGGGAGAGTTTGCAGGCAGGCAGCTGAGGCAGAGAGACAAAGACCACAGCAAACGCACTCACGATACCTTGTCTGCCTGCGACCCGAAGCTTCGAGACTCTTCATTAAACTTGCCTCGGTATTTCCGTTTGGAAAATGTGTATTAGAGCGACCAGGTTGAGCCCGGTTGGACATTCGATAAGGAAACAGTTTCAATTGACGGCCCGCCGCTTGAAGGTACCGGAAGCAATTGTAAAGCTCAACCAACAGTCAGCTCTTTGCATTCAAGGGCTCTCTTCCGGAGTCTCGTCAATTCCAAAAACGGTCAAATGAGAAATCTGTCAGAAGTGAAGTTTTGATTGCTTCTGTTCACGCGACCCTGGAGGAAGGAGGGTCCAGATGAGGTGTCAAGGGTCCGGACAGGGGTGCTTAAATTGGCCCTTGCACATCAGGACCGGATGGAGAGCTTGACTTGATTCGGGGGCCTGAGGCAAGCGCACCACTGGTGGATTATGGGCGAACCAGGCACTAAAAAGCAACCTTGACACCTGGTTGACCGACATGGCCCCACATGTTCTTTTCCAAATGCCATCACCAACTCCAGGCAACTCATCGCCACTGCACCTCATCACCAAAGTACAACTACGAATACGGATACAATAGACCAAGCCCACTTCAACACAGATATGCGTGAATAGAATCACTGCGCCTACACCTCACACACTCCACGATTCCTTCGCCCACGAACCGCCAGGATGCCTCGCGCCATCAGAGGTGAGATGTCTCCTCCCAAGCATCCGCCGCATGCTTGCTCTGCCTAGCTGCCCTTCCCCAGATATCCCCCGGCCTACTAACATTCCCGCCCCGCCTTTGTAGGCGTCCTCATCGAGTGTGACCCCTCCATCAAGTCCATCATCGTGAATATCGACTCCAACAACCATGACTACATCATTGAGGATCTCGACGACCAGCACGTCGTTGTCAAGGAGAACATGGTTGGTATGCTCAAGAGACAGCTCGATGAGGTTAGTCATCCCTCCCTCTTCTTCTTCTTCTTCTTCTTCTTCTTCTACAGACACGACTTGAGTAGGCGCATTAACACACATCACTTGCAGAGGCTGAAGGAGACTCAGCAGCCCGACGAGAGTTCAGACTCTGATTGAGTGCCGACGGAGCCGTTTTATCAATTTTTGCTCATTGTATGCTTCCCGATGTTTCCGACTAGTCTTCTACTGCGTCCTGGATACGATTGTCTCCCAACTTCTGGCTACCATGTGACCGTCGCTATACTACCGATCTCCCGTCATGCCTTCTTGACATTACGGCGCGTTTGTTCTGTATGGTTTCGTGGGAGGGGATCATGATCCGTTCCGTCCCGGGAATGTCTATGGAAATGGATTCCAGACTGGCCTATATATGGCCGCATCACCGTGGCAATCCCATGAAAAGGATGGCACACATCTCTACAACTTAAAGTGCCGATCAGAGCTTCTCGAAAGTGGGCTTCTTCTTCTGCAACCCGGACATCAAAGCAGTCTTGGTATCGCTTGACTGAAGCATGGCAGCGTTCCAGATAGTAGTGTATCGCAAGTCTAGAGCCAGAGAATTAGCAGTTATCAAGAAATGAAGCCCAATCTTGGGCAGAAGGAAATGCAAATGGGCATAGCCATCCAAAAATCAAGAAGAAGAAGAAAAAAAAAAGACTTACTCTCCGCAACCGAGTGATCCCTCGCATGGTTCAACAGCTCCTTGGTCCCCTGCACCGCGACAGGACTCTTGCTCGCCACAAACCCGGCCCACTTCGTGCCGGCCGCGACGGCCGCGTCCTTGGAATCGTGCACCTGGCTGACGAAGCCCACGGCGAGCGCCTCCTCGGCGGAGAAGTCCCGCGCCGAGAGGCAGACGTCCTTGACCCACGACGTGGAACCGACGAGCTTGGGGAGCCGGCTGAGGGTGCCGAGGTCGGCGGCGAGACCAATGTCGACTTCTTTTACGGCGAAGCGGGTGTTGCGCGCGGCGATGCGGACGTCGGCGCAGCATGAGATGTCGATGGCGATGCCGATTGAGATTCCGTGGAGGACGCAGACGACGGCTGGGGGGGAGGTGGTGTGTTAGCTTTTGTGTTTTCAACGTATCGGGGGTATGCTGAGCTTGGTCTTGGGTTCGAGGTGCGTGTGTATGTTCATCTTCAGACCTTCAAGCCGATATCAAAAAGTGAAAATGAGACTTTGTGACGGGAAAGAAAAGTGAGAGTCTTAGAAAGAGAGAAGGGGAAAAGAGACTTACGCTTCTCACACCTCTCCACAGCAGCGATAGCATCTTGGAACTCGGTAATATGGCGGCGCATATTCGTCGCGTAGCGCGCCGGGTCGCCGCCGAGGTCCGCGCCGAGGGGGCTGTTGACGGCGTCCTGGACGTCCAAGCCGGCGGAGAAGGCGCGGTCGCCGGCGCCGGAGAGGACGACGGCGCGGACGTCCGGGTCGTGGCTGAGGCGGTCAAAGACGGTGGCGAATTCGCGCCATACGGGCTCGGAGAAGGCGTTGAGCTTCTGCGGACGGTTGATTTGGACGTGGGCTACGTAGGGGGAGGGGGAGGTGACGAGGAAGTGGGTGTAGGTGTAGTCTTTGAAGGGTGCCATTTTGTGTGTATGTGTGATGGCGGTATAAGGCGGGTGAGTGTGTTTGCGTGAGTGAGGAGGAGGGTTTACCTGTGGTGAGGCTTTCGCTGTGTGAGGCGTGAGGCGGGGAGCTGGATGAGATTGTGTGAAGATGCTCGACTACGGTATGCAAAATGCCAGAGTGAAGGTAGAGCTCGTATACCGGCGATTTCTTGGGACGGAGTGTGGCAGAGTAAAAAAGTGAATCTCAGTCAAATGTACAGATGACAGGATCTTGCGAATGCGACGATGTGGTTTCGAAGAGGCTGACCTGACCGTCCGACGGGGCCCGACGGGGCTGGCCGAGTTGCCGAGGCACGTCTCGCAGGCGTTTTCCCCGACCCGACCGACACACAGGGGGGGCCCCCGCATGGTCTGGGGTAAACGTTACACACGCCGGTGTGGGGGTATTGATCGCTCTTCTTTTTTTGCTTCTGATAAGACGGGCGATCGATCTTGTGTAATTGATACCGACAAATGCTGAGGTCCCTTGGTCTTTACTCAACATCAAGTTGCCGCAAACAGTGGAAAAGTTTTTCTAGGCAAGTGAATTCATTATGTGTGAGTCCTTGGGTGTATAGGGAGGGACCCACACAAGAAGTCGGTTTTGCTCAGTCGGCTCTCTGTTTGGAGAACGCCGCGTGCATCTCGTTACAGAATCCCATATATGGAGGTCTCTCCATTTCTCCAATGCGGCAGGCCAATGTTATTCGACCTGCGAGCCCGAGTTTGCTTTGCTGGCTAAGCTGAAAGAGATGGGCGTCACACCGTGAAAGGTTGAGCTTCATTGGAGTGAATTGCAGTATCCTCGAACTGATCTACTAGGCATATTTACCACATCAACAGAGCTATACGTAGTCATTTCGTGCTTATTAGGAGTGCTAGACTGTCGTAGTGGTTCATTCCCCTCATCAAATCGACTCACAGCCATAGCATTTGGTGAGAGGTCTGACCGGATGACTCACGTTGCAGCCCCAAAACATCATTAGCTTCGCAATGTATGAGATGTACCCGACTACCATGGTACAGCTGAGGTCGTGCTCTCCATTTGATGGCCTTGATGAAAGCCCTCGTATTGGAAATTCAAACGAAGAAGGTAATTTGGGCAACATTTCAAATCAAAGTCTTGAGTGTGAAATCTAAACAGGAGCCAGAACTCTACTTCATGTTACTTGTCAACTAGATGACGAAGGGAAAATTGTGCTGGGCACCAAATGCTGTTTGAACAGAACTTAAAAAAAAGTCTGCGAAAAGTCATCTACATAGATTCGTCCTGGGTATGCAGAGTCTCAAGGTCCAAGGAAATCAGACTATAGGCGAAACCGGTGCCACAGACGGCATCCTCAATGTAAGTTCAGTACGGCGAGTGAATGTCCAATGTCATCCTTGCTTGGGTTATCTTGTGTATGATTAGAAAATGGAGGACTCACTAATCTCGCTTAACAGCTTTAACAATGGACGTATTGTCGTGTTTCATGTGGTTTTCATATCAAAGGTGCGGTTTGAAGACGTCTTATAGAAATGTCGGTCCATGTGGCTATTTCACAGGCTCTCCCGCTTTACTTGAGGTATCGCCATTAAACCCAGGTTTGTTAGGTTGGTAGAGGTCGGATCCGGGAGCCGAGACGCTCGCCGCATGAGTCAACCGGTCAACAAGTCATTGCTTGGCTGTCCGAGGAGGGCTGTCACACGCCTATCGACATAATCAGAGCTTATAGCCTCAGAATGGCTTCATCGTCGGGCGAAAGATTTATGGCTGATGACTAACAGCTGAAATGCAATGTTCTAGAAGGATTCAACGAGATAACGCGACAAGAAAGAGGTGCTGTCGTGTGTTCTCAAGTTGCTGTTCCTGAGAGTAGATAGATGTAATTCATTGTCAAGTCGTCTTGGTAGGCTACTAGGTACCTAGTACAACATGGTTCCAACACTGGGGGTGGAAGGCACGATTTGACAAGTAGCTCCTTCTCCTCCTCGGGACATCGTCATTACTTGGCGGAAGGAGTCGGCACAGCCAAACCCAAGTGCTTGTAGAAGGAACCGGGCAAATTGACTTTCGCTACCAGGTGCTCTCAACAATTCGGCTCTCCAATTCTGTCGTCAACACCATCATTCTCTCGACGACCTCCCCAGTTCCTCAACCCCCCTATCAAAGGAATTCTCCTAGAATCTCGCTATCCTCTACACGGAATATTTATCGTTACTACGCGCGTCAAATGCTCATGCATCACACTTTTTGAACTTCATGTCCAAGGCCACGAGGACTCGGTCTCTGACGCCACCGACCGAAGTCCAGCGGCTAACGGACCCCAGCACGTCGGCTTACAAGCAAACGGCTTTGCGACGCTACAATTCCGCGGAAAAGCTTGGCGAGAGAACTCGCAGCGTTAGATCTATATCTTCAGAATCGCTGCCGACCACTTTCCGTCTTGGTTTCTGCTGCACCTCGCAAGCGGAACTTGCGCTGAACCCAAAACCAGTGGAGGAGAAGCCGGCGATGTTGTCCAACTTCTTCCATCCGACCAAAGACACCATAGCTCGAAATAGGGAGCCGTCCAACGCCACCGGAGACTTTGAGGACACACCTCTGCCTAGCGCTCGACCTTCTATGATGGACATGTCCTTGAAGAAACCCGAAAAAGACGTTGCTTCGAGCTTTTCTTCGGCGAAAAGTGGGAAATTTCGACATGCACTCCTCAAGACCGCTTCCGGGCGCCCGATGTTGGTTGACAGAGATCTACCCGTGCCCCCAGTCCTTAGTCGACAAGTCAGCGAAAGCCAATTACGGAAACCAGAAGAAGGCATGAACAGCTACGAGAACAAGTCAAAGATTGCCATTCCATCGAGGAAGTACTCGCCTTCCCAGATGCAAGACAATCCTACACCGACTGTCAGCCAACATCTCATGGAGACTACGACAAACGTCGACCCCTACTTTCCCCGGGAAACCGTCTGCGTTGATCCTTTGATCCATCCGGACGAGTCTCACACCAAGGTCCACCACCGTGGTATCCTCAAAGGTGCCGACTTTTGCGATACCGGCGTGCCTGGACAACCTATTCCACAGCAACCAGAGAACACGACGTCTAGCTCCTCATCATCGTCATCATCTGCCTCGTCGGAGGCTGAAATTGTTCTTGCCAAGGTTCGCCGAGCTATGACTGGAGATGATCTCTGTCTCTCCACAGTCGAAGTCACCGTCCCAAAGCACGATGGACACAGTCATGCTATGAAGGTTCGGCCAGCTTTCAATCTGCCAACCTTCCAGTACCCCAACGCAGGCCGCCAACAGCATTCTCCGCTCGGAGTTTCCAAGGTACGGCCGTTTGACCCAGCCATGGAACATTTATTGCCTGAAGGAGATGTCAATAGATCAACAGAAACCGAAGCTCCTCTCGGAGTTTCAAAGGTCCGGCCATTTGACCCAGCCAAGGAACATTTGCTGGCCGAAGGCAATGTCAATAGATTGACAGAAACCGAAGAGAGCAGCAGTAAATCGATCAATGTACCAGTCTCCAAAGTCCGACCCTTTGCCCAAGAACCCCCTGAGCTGAATCATCACGCTGGACATCAAGGTGTGTCAAAAGTCCGGCCCTTCAGTGACGAATCCGACAACAACAACAACAACAACAACAACCGAAAAGACAAGGATGCCTATTTCGCCGTCGGATCAGATGAGTCGGTAAGTGAGGGGCCCGCCAGAGTCACTAAGCCGCGTTCAGAGAGCACGACTCGCTCCCGATCAAGCACTATTGACTACAAGCGTACCGCTCAGTGGCTCCGACATCTACTGAAGAACCCCGAAACGCATACGGCTAAGTTGACGGAGAGACCGTTCAAGGCGAAAAGAGCGTCCTATGCTTCTCTGAAGAGCTCCCAGGAACAAAGTTCAGTCTCTCGGAAGATGACTCGTCAACCGACGCTTTCACCTACCGATGTTGAGCAGGGCTTCTTCCAAAGCACTTTTGGGGAGCTAGAACGTCTTCTTCAAGAAGCTTTAGCACTGGCATCTCGAGTTGCTGACGACGAAGAGGCAAAGTCTCCAGAGTCTGGAAACGATGTCTCGAAGGAAGCCGCACCTTATGATCACTCCTTGCAGTTTTCTGAGGTCGACTTGAACGATGACGGTAAAGCAAAAGACCCAAAGTACAAGCGCGCTGCTACGTTTCCGTATGCTGGGCGGCCTGAAATCCGCGCGGTAGACGATCTTTACCGCAACATTTCTCTTACTCCGCAGACGGCAGAGCTTGAGAACATGCTTGACCGCAAGAAAAGTTCAGTTGGCAAGAAGAACAAACGCAGACACAAATCACGATCCCGACAAGCTGGGCCTGTACCAGACAGAGTTTCGAGCAGGAAAAGGAGCAAAAGGAGCAAGGTGGTAAAGAAGTCGAAGCGCACAAAGCCGAAGCAGATCGTCGAGCAACTCCCGACAGATTCAGAGTCTAGCATGGACGGATCCAATGACTCCTCTGCAGTCAACTTTCCGACTCGAAAGCAAGCTCAAGGCAGCAGCGGGCCAACTCGACCTCGAGCAAGCACGAAACGGGTACCCTTTCTATCTCGCAACACAGGCGAGGACAATCTTCCTCAGGAGGACTTGAGTGGGCGCCCGATTCGTACCCCACGAGGGATCAGCTTACGCGGCAAGTCTCATGTCAGTCTGCGTGGTGTACAGGCCTTCAATCTAGCCAAGTCGAAACGGCGTCAGCCCATCGCCCGAGACTGGTCACCAGCTCGGAAGAGGGCCATCGCAACTGTAGCTTGCATCAGTACAGCACTTATCGGTATGATCATCGGCATCTACGCCGGACTAGTACCCTCACTGCAGTACTATATCCTAGATACAAGCCACTCGATCATCAACGGCAATGTGGGTTGCTTTCTTGGGATGGCGATTCCCACTTTCTTTTGCTGGCCACTTCCTCTCGTTCACGGGCGTAAGCCATACATCACGACTGGTTTGATCCTATCCATGCCACTTCTTTTCCCCCAAGCTCTGGCTGTCAGCGCTCAGAGATTTTACAACCTCACTGGATAGAGAATGGTGTTGTTGGTACCGCGAGGCTTCATGGGTATCTGCCTTGGTTTCGCAAGCATGAATTTCCACTCGATACTTACAGACCTTTTCGGCGCATCTCTCATGAGCAGCAATCCTCATCAAGAGGTTGTGGATGACGCTGATGTAAGGAGGCACGGAGGAGGTATGGGTGTCTGGCTCGGTGTCTGGACATGTTGCTACATTGCCTCCCTCAGCTTTGGCTTCCTCATTGGCGCTGCGGTGATCGATCAACTTCCACCAGACTCCGGTTTCTATGTCAGCATCGCTTTGACCGCAATCGCGCTTTTGCTGAACAGTCTCTGTCCAGAGGTGCGTCGTTCGGCGTTCCGACGATCGGTTGTGGAAGTCAGAAGTGGGACGGATATCTCTCGGCGTGTTGCTCGCGGCGAGATCATGATGCATCGCGTCAAAACTGGACCCAAGTGGTGGGGCCAGGAGTTGTATCATGGTGTCGCACTTTGCTTTGAGATGCTTCGACAACCTGGTTTCGCTGTCATGGCCATTTACTCTGGTTGGATTTACGCCCAAGTGGTTCTCATTATCGTCTTGTTGGGCTCACTGACCTCAAGGTTTTACCGAATGCGATCACCCTTCGTTGGACTCATGGTATCTGCAATAGCATTTGGCGCACTCGCTGCTATCCCATTCCAAAAGGCCAGCTACTTCTCCAGAGCGAGACATACCCAGGTAAACACCAGCCGCATGACATTCGACAAGCAGGTAACATGGACATCTCACCTCCTTCGCCGATCCATATTCGCCATTGGCCTCCCACTGGCTGGGATCATCTACACATTGGTTTCGACTGGTCCACCGATGCATCCAATTGCACCCGCCATCGTCGCCGCTGCAATCGGTTTTCTTTCGTGCCTGGCAATCTCAGAATGCAACGGACTCATCATGGAAACCTTTGACACTTCGGATCTGCAATCTGGAATGACAGGCCGGCCTCGAGGCAATTCAGACAATGCACAAAAGAGGAAAAACTACTCTGCCTACCCTCGCGTGACTGCAGGGTTTGCCGTTTGTCATACCTTGGGGTTCATTTTCGCCGCTGGAGCAACTGCACTAGGCGGCACGGCCCAGCGAAATCTCGGTCAGAGAGCAGCAACCGGAGTTGTAGCCGGTATCTTGTTCATTTTGACACTGATACTGACCTTGACCCTGATTCGATTCAAGGAGGTCACGATCATTCCGGAGAGCAAGACGGAGGCGATGGACAGGTGGACAGCTGCGCGCAGAGAATCTATCAAACGCCGCGATTCAATGCCAACCGGGGTGATGGACGACAAAGATGTCATCGCCGAAGAAGAGCCATGGCGTCCGTTTATTGTTGGTAACCCCACCAGCAAAACACGGCGAGTCAACGTCCTTGAGCTCGGTAGCCTGTCGCGTTTCACAGAGATCAGAAAAAGGAACAAGCTCATAGACGCTAACCAGCACCTGAACCGAGCGGCTTTCGATGCTGGGATAGATGCACTTGATGATCAGATCAGCGATGTCATGAGCGATATCGTTGATGATGTCAAAGATCTCGTGAGAAGAGGCAGTCAGAGGAGTCAAAGGAGCCAACGGAGTCAACGAAGCCAGCGAAGCCAACATAACCGGACCTCGCGTTCGCGGCGGAACCATCGAAGTGCGACGAGCGATGGGAGTGGCCACTCCTCCATTGAAATGACTTCTTTGGAGGACGTAATGTCAGGTGGTCATCGGCCCCGAATGCCTGAAGACGTATACAATGAACGAGAATGCCTCAGAGGTCAAACAGTCAAGGAAGAGTGAGAAATAAAATTGGAGGGCTTCGGTACAAGATGGAATTCCTATGAGTAGAAGAGACCGTCTCCTGGACGGTATTGCATGAGAGCACCTATGAGGGCGAGCTTACACTCCTGTCGGAAGAAAGACCAAAACTCAATAGTCAATGTACCCTTAGTATACACAATATGGTAGAAGAGCTAGAATGAAACCCTCTTTTTCGGAAACCAACTCCGGTAATGCAATCCCATCTGCCGAATGTCTTCATCTACGTCCATTCTCCGTCCATCTTATCAATATTATCATATGTAAAGAGAGTAGTGAAAAAGAAAAGTGTGCTACTGGTACAAGTACGTTGAAGGAAAATGACGATAAGTATCGTAAAGAGAGTGGGTATAGAGATAATCCTTTGTCTTCGTCATGTATGAGAAATGAAAATGATGGGTCGTAGTCCTTGACTGTAGTTCCATCCCCGTAAGCGGCGAAATTCAACTACTTCACCGGATCACTGCACGTTCAAAAACAAGTCATCGCCCCGTCGAGTAGGCGTCAACCTCGGCTGCCAGGTCGGCGTAGCGGGTAAATGACCCCCGCGCCCGGCGCCGCCGCCACCTGTTCGGGATGGGAACCCGGGAGGTGTGGGGAAGAGAGCGGCGTCGGGGGAGAGGAGCATATCCGTTCCGTCTCCGGGGCCTCCGGGGCGAACGGGTCTCCAGTTGGGGCTGTGGCGGAGACCGGCGTTGGGGAGGGCGAGGGCGGCGGCGCGTTCGGAGCCGAGGCGTTTGGAGAGGAGGGAGGATGTTGTTGAGGGGGTTGCGATGGAGGGGGAGGCGGTTGAGGAAGGGGGGCGGATGGATGGTGGTGCTGGTGGTTGTGGGATTGTGGAGGTTGGTCGGATGGCTTGGGTTGCGATGTGGTGCGGTGATGGGGAGGCGGAGGACGGTCTCTCGGGGAGGGGTTGTTTTGGAGGCGGGGATTTAGGGGGGAGGGGGGTTTGGGTGGATTGGCGGTTTTGTTGTTGTGAGAGGCGGCGTTGGCGTTGTTGGAAGGATTGTTGGGTTTGCTGGGACTGGGCTTGCTGCTGAGGCTGAGGAGCTTGTTGTGATGGGAGGCCGGAGTAGGGAGCTGGCTTCTGCTGCTGCTGTTGTTGCTGGGCACGAGGAGGGAGGTTCCCCCATAGAGCCTTGTGGACCGAGGCAGACTGAGGTTCCTGGTTCATCGGCGCCTGCTGGACTTGTGCTGCCTGCGGCTGCGGGTGGACGTCATCGTTGCGCTCAAGTCTGGGGCGTTTGGGGTTCAGGGGCGGCGGATAAAGGGGTCTCATCTGCGGCGGCCGCTGGGTTTGCGCGGGCTTCCAGTGGGGTTCTTGCTGGAGGCCTTGGTAATTGTTCCTGTTCTCGGACGTGGAGGGGGGAGGAGAGGGGGTCACGAGGCGGAGTGAAGGCGATCCAGTGGCGATCCTGCTCGGGTCGGCGACGGGGCCGGTTGGGCGCGGGCGAGGGCCGACGGGTTTACGGGGCACGTCGTAGCTGGCCATGTACGGTCCATTTCGGGACTGTTGCTGCTGCTGCATCATACCCAACGTGGGACTGGGCTGTCCGGCGGGGAACGCAGCAAAAGGTCGGGTGGGAGGAGCCAGGAGGCGGAGGTTATTGTAACCAGGCTTAGAGCTGGTGCGGCCGGGAATGACGGGGTAGGAGACGGGTGAGTGCCCGACATTTGGGGACCCCCTTGAGGCAGGTGACTCCACGACGGGAGAAAGGCTGCTTTGCTCAATTACGGGCCCGGCTTCGCTCGCGACGGAGGAAGCGATCGTCGTGGCCGATGCGTGGGAGTCGTGGCTGTCGGATCGATGCGGTGCGATTCCCGCGCCTGTGGAAACCGATGCAGCGGGAGGAGGGAGAGGAGCAGTGCCGGACCCTGCGGATTTCGACTTTGATGAGCTGCGGCGGCCGAGGGAGTTGCTTCGGCGGCGTGGTGGCTCGGGATGGGAGAAGGACATGCTCGGCACCGGGTGAGGAGCTCCGGTAGACGGGGGAGAGCACTGTTCTGGATAACCGTGTTGGGTCTTGTGGTGGCTGGCGAGTAGACGCTCGAGGTCCGGGATTGATGAGCCGCGGGCGGGGCCGCTAGGGCACCGGTTCGAGCGATCTCGGCTGGCGGAAGTAGAACCGGGGGCGGTGGCATCATCCGGCCACCGGAGGGAGCAACGGGACTTCCGGCTCCGTGGCCCATGCCCGCAGTCGTGGCTGTGGCCGCGAGCATGGCGGACTCGGCGTACGAGGGCTTCGCCTTCGCACCACCTCCCTGGCCCGCGCCCGAGGCATCGAGTTCGGCGATCTGTGCCATGTGAGTAGCGCTCTTAGGGTCCCCGAGAACCCAGTTGCCGTTCTTGTCTGCTACGTAGTACGTGGCAGACTTGGGAACGGTGTTGATGCTGCCCACCGTTGCCGAGGGCGGTCTCCAGATGTTGTTTGAGCGAGCCGAACGGGCCGAGGTGATGGCGCCGTCTTCTTCGAATTCCGTCATTGTGCTTTCACGGGCATTGTAGTGGCTCTTTGGTGGTGCTGTGAGCTTGGCCGTCTTGAAGATTTGGGAGTTGGTCGGCACAGATCCGCTTTGGTCCGCCCGAGGGAGTGACGACGGTGTGAGGTCTATCTCAGGAATCTTGAGAGAGAGGACCGGCTTTGGTGACGAAAGAGAAGGTTTGGCTGGAAGGAGACGTGACGTTGGACGGTTCTGCGCCTGAGGTGATGGGCGATAGGCCGCTGATGTGCTCTCTGGCCGGGATACGGCTAGGCCAATCGCGCCAGGCCACCAGCTCATGCGGCCGCTTGTCCGGGTGCGTGCTGCCGGGGGCTGGCGTAGCGGTGGCGGAGAAGGGGATTGCGCATGGTGGACGGGCGGAGAAATGTGGAAGATGTTGGCTGGGCCCTCTTGCGGGTGAAACTCCCAAGAGTCCTTCTCTCGTACGGGGAAGAAGCCTGTCTTCTCATCCGGGTAGTCCTTTCTGCGCTTGCGGCGGGCAAAGCATATGGCGAGGATGGCAATGCCAAGGGCGGCTGCGATACCAACCGCAAGACCTGCTACTTGGGCGGTGCCTAAGCTCTTGGAGGCACCGGCGTCGACACCCTCAGCTCCTGGGACTGCAGTTGCGGATGCGGAAGGCGTCGCTGTGGAAGATGGCGGCAAAGGCGGCGGTGTAACAATGCTATCAGTACTAGAAGCTTGAGATACAGTCGAGGTAGTCAACGTTGTAGACGTGTCTGGGATAGACGGTGTGCCTGTTGCCGAGATGAGAGTCGTCGGGATCGAAGTCGTTAGATGGCTCGTCGACGTTGATAGGGTGGTTCTTGTGGTTGTCCTTGGAGGAACGAGAATGATGCCTCCAGAGGAAGGAATGATTAACGTCGCAATGATGGCTGTGTGCGTGGGCTGAACAGCTCCCGGTTGATTCGAGCACATCAGGTATGCTGCATCGATCACATTCTCTACCGCTTGTTAGATTTCGTTCCACGACTGATCCCGAACGACGTGATGTACGTACGTGGTGCATCACTTTCGCGACAGAAACCAATGGCCTTCTCTGCGACGATACACTGCACAGCGCCCTCCCCTAAGGTGAGTCCTGAAAATCCAACATTGGCACACAGGCATTGCAGAGTAGGAGCACTACCACAGATAGTAAGGTCGTAGTTGGCACTCAGATGCGAACGGAAGCATTCGCGGGCGCACGTCGGTACAAATCTCGTAATCTCGCTCGACAGGTTGAACGACGTCGCCGCAGTGATGGAGGCCGATAATGTGAGTGAGAGTGTCCAAAGAAGAGGCTTGAGGGCCATGGTACGGGAGGACATCTAAGAACCCAAGTCAGCATTACCATGTGTAAGGAAAGGCAAGATGTAAACTTACTTGGATGAAGGTCCCATCCTTCATACGGTCTGCCAACAACCAACTAAGTCTGGTTAAACGTCAGTGAAAGCCAGAGGTAGGTAGACGAAAAAGGCCTGGGAATCAACAGCTTCAAGAGTAGACCGTGTATAAGCCCTGATTGGGATGATCGACAAACTGGGGAACGAACCTATCGAGAGTGTGGTCTTATTAGGTTATTAAGAGACGACCCGCATCTCAAGTTCGTATAGCATACGAGAGAGACAAGAAAGTACGTTGGATAGAGTATCATCCGATTATTCCAAGAGTATCAGCTGCGGAAAGATTCAGCCGAGAAGTAGAGACTAGAAAAGAAAGAGGCTATTCCATGCGACCGAAATGCAAAGTGTGTAAAAGAAGAAGCTGAGCAAAAGCTAAAAATGAGAACAGACGGCTTTGGGGGCTCAGCAGCGGGCATGTAACTGTTCATACATGAATGGAGACGGTCCCAAGAAAGAAGGAGAAAGAAGGTTGACGTGGGGAGGATGAAGGGAACACTGGTGCCTCTTCCGTCATACCCCAGGAACATGCTGCCGCTCACTTGAAGGCTCTCGACCGCGCTTCGCTTCGCTTTCCTGTGACTTCATCCGGAAAAGCCAGAATCTCGTTGCGGCAACCCAATGCCCTGCCTCACTATGCCGCCAACCTGCAGGGTTGGATGCGGTTCCTGCAGTCACGTCCACAGCGGCCCGGTCTGCTCGCGAGCCGCTGCTGGAGATCTCGTTGAAATGACGAAGGCCAGACAATTCGGGGGCTATCCGATTCCGTTTCGGGCGGTTGACACCCCAGCTGGTTGGTTGGGCGAGTCGCTCTATTTTCGTTCTGGGGGGAGGTTTGCAATTTGCATCTAAGATCCAGTGTTGTGTGGCGGTCCAGGCCAGAGTGTAACCCCTTCTGCATGCCATCAGACCAGAGCGAGAAGGTCGAGGACCCAATGAAGATGCGCGTCTTGAACAGATGCAGGTACATTGAGTGGCTGAGGTGCTCCCACATCGCCCCCGAATTTAAGCGCCCAGTCTCCTCTTAAGCGCGGAGGCCGAACAAGAAACCCAAAGACGTTGAAGCGAACCGCCCCGAAAACGGGCGCCAAAACGTCGACCGCATCACGTGATGCAGATCAGAGGCATTCCAGGCCAATGAATGGTCAATGTTAGCCAGGCACAGTAGTCAAGTGTCAGACGTAGTCGCTGGCCAGTTGTTTCTCGATATCCTCCCCATGGTGGGACTGCCTCCTTCGTTTCGGAATTCACAACTTTGAGATTGATGGATGTGATTGACTCTGCAGTCCTCAGACAATAAGAGCTGTGCATGCGACGTGAGCGAGTACTATTGCTCTTGACTGGGTACCACGACTGAGCTTGACACGCTTCTCCAACGTCAACATCCGCCATGAGGCATTGATGCGACATACCGACTTTCAGGTCACATATAGACCCCAAGTCTTCTCGGGGCCGTCGCACTTGTCGACTCAAGCTCTTGCATTTCTCAGTAAGAATGCATCATCGTGGCGGCAGAGCAGTGATGCGAACTGCTGCAGGCTAGCCACCCCCAACGCAACCTCGCATCCTGCCGACCATCCCGAAGGTCTAGTTAGTGTCTGGCACCTTTGCAACCGCCGATATCAGACCACTCTAAGGCTGAGGCTGAAATTCTTTCCAGAAGAAACACATCCTACGGAGTACTTTGGTCTTTGTTAGCTGTTTTCTAGCCGAAGCCATTAGGTACACGGGATCGAGGGGGTCAAATTAGCCGACCAAGATGATCAGCTTGAAGGTCGTGATTAGTGTTCAGGAATTTCCATTTGTCTCCATTCATGGTATCTCATTTTTTTCATAGCCTCCCCTGAGAGGCTTATGGCCTCGTCCGAAGCCTTCCGCATTCACATACTGTCCCAGATTGACAGCCTCTTAAGAAGGGGCCCCCCATGACCCGAAGTGCCAGAGTTATCCGCCGGGGCCCTTTTCTCATTTCACATACCGTCTTTCCATCAACAACCCGTCGAGCGATCAATCAGTACTAAGGCTTGACGCTGGCATCGGTCGCGCTGGGGGCGAATGCAGCCTTGGCCCGGTTGGACTTGATGACCTTCTGCACATCTTCCTCTGTCTGGTCCCAGTCGTTGGCATCCAGCTGGACGAGGTCGATCTCGTACATGTCTGCGATATTCTTGAGGGCATAGAAGCTCTTCTTATCGTAGACGAAACTGATGCTCACACCGATGCGGCCGAAACGTCCAGTGCGGCCAATACGGTGCAGGTAGGTTTCAGGGTCAGGCTCCAAATCTCCACGTCCCTTCATGGGGATATCGTAATTGATGACCATGGAGACACTGGACACATCGATGCCGCGTGCCAACACGTTGGTGGTGAGAAGAACCTTGGACTGGCCGGTTCTAAACTCCTCCAAAAGACGATCGCGCTCTGGGCCGTCCTTGGCACCGTGGAGGGCGGATACACGATGACCGTCCGCCTCCATTCTGCGCTTGATCTCGTCCGCACTTTCACGAGTCTACATTGGTGTGGTTAGTCTGATTCTATCAGCTGGATTTTACTAGTCTCACCTTGACGAAGATGACGGAGGAGCCAATGGTCATGAGACCGTACAGCTTCACCAGCACCTCGTACTTGTCCTGCTCGGTAGGGCAATCGATGTACATCTGAGAAATACCCTTGACGGTGAGCTCGGTGTGCTTCAGACGAATCTGATCAGCTTTGGGCGCAAACTTCTCGGCGAAGCCCATGACCTTGTCAGGGAAGGTGGCGGAGAACAGGAGGATCTGGATGTCACGGGGCAGCATGCTGATATATGTCATTAGCAAAGTTCTCAATAGACAGATTCAGAGGTCATCTTACTTCTTAACACGGAGGCACTGCTCACCCAGACCTTGCTGGTCCAACATGTTGTCGGCCTCGTCAATAACGAGGAGCCGAAGCTTCGAGACATCCAGCTGACGTCTGCGGATGATGTCCATGACGGTACCAGGCGTTCCAACAATGACATTGGCTCTGACAGGAGCGTTGCGCTCCAATGCACCCGGGAGAGCTGCAGCAACGTTGAGACCCTCGCAGAACTTGCCGATATTGCGTACAACGCCCTCGATCTGACGAGCAAGCTCGCGACTGGGAGCCAGCATCAGGGCCTGGGGCTGATCGAGCTGGGAGAAATCGACTCGCGACAGGGTAGTAACGACAAAGGCGGCGGTCTTGCCGGTTCCGGATTGCGACTGGGCAATCATGTTTCGCGGGGGGTCGGTCAGCATCAAGGGGAGAGCCTTCTCCTGAATCTTGGAGGGCTTCTGGTAGTTGAGGGAAAGAAGACCACGAAGAATCTCCTCACGGCTGCACCATCACGTATTAGAAACCTGCAAACATTCGACTCGCTTGTGGACTTACAGGTTCATATCGTTGAAGGTTGAGACCGAGTAGAGAGTGCTGTTCTGGTCGGACTGGAGGTCACCCAGCTTGACGTCGACATCGTAGGTATTCTCAATGAGACCGGAGTCTGCAGCGCCGTCAACCTGAGGGACTTCAGCTTCCTGGGTCTCCTGGGTTTCCTGGGTCTCCTGAGGAACTTCCGGAGCCGCGCCCTCGGCGGGCGGTTCTGTGATGCGACTAGCAAGGTCGGCCATCGTGACTGAGGATGCGCACGGTCGCAGTTGGAGTCTGAAGGAGGAGCATTAGAAATCGAGTCTATAGTAAGTTGCGATGGTCGAAAGTCTTACTTGGTGGTTGGTCGAGGGTGGGGGTAGTCAAGGGGAAGTAGCGGTATTGTCGCCCGTCACCTATTCGGCTTCAACAGCAGGTTAGCGAATGGCAATAAGATGGATTTGGAGGAAAGAACTCGGTTGGATAGATGGTTGTGGGTAGGGAGGGGAATTGACTAACATGCGATTGGGCTGGTCCTTCTCTGAATGTGGTTATGTGAAGGGGTAGGTCAGTCGGGGAATCTTGTTTGTTTTGCGATGACGGATTCGGAGCTCCCAAACCAAAAATAATTCTAGGAAGCTACGTCGTCTGTCACTCCTGCCTGTGACTGAGCACTCCAAAGCGATGGCGGGGCTGCGCGGGGCATTTTTGTCGCCTAACAACCAAGGCCTAAGTCAGGAACGGAAAGCTCACCTTCCTACCGACGTTTTCCCAGCAAGGGTGGCCCACGAGTGCGCCTGCCCAGCTGAGCTTGAGCCTTGAGGTAGGTGGCTGAGGTAAGGCAAATGGAAGGAACCTAGAAGTCACTGCACCTACCTGACTTCGTAAGTACGGAGTACCATACTTAGCTATTGACCACGTGACATGTCATTAATCCGCTGCGGCCAACCTCAAGTACTCCGTACATGAGTGAGCCCAAGAGCTTCAGGTGATTGGGATTTCCCTGTTCATTGGGTCATTCTTCTCATAGGCTTCCCGACGTCATTCATGCAATCAGCATCGTGATGTATGTTGAGCTTTGAATACCAACGAACGGCATGGAATTATTCAATCTCCGGCGCATCCATCGAGCATAGCAAACCCCAGCAAGCTTCCGCGCAGCTTGGAGAACCCGAATCCGAAACCCCTGTAGGTACGGAGTACTCAGGCACCAATGGCACCAATGAGTGGACTTCCCAGCGGTAGGCGACCGGTCCGCAACCCCACCACAGGCCTCTTCAGCGCGCAATACGCAGGAAGGCACTTGCCCCAAGCTCAAGGTACCTTACTGCGTAGTGGATCGAGCAGCCGGAGAAACACACCAGTGCAGCAAAGGAAGGTTCCAGTTGGCCAAGGGGAAGAGCTGACGACGTCTCCGTCCGATGTCAATGCCCCAAGCATCCGACCCCAAGCCTCCAAGGTACCTCCAAAGCCAAAACAATCGCCAGTGATACATCCAATTTCTTCCATGGAAGGTTAGGTTGTGTGAGCAGCGCAGCGCAAAACAGCCTCCACCTTTTCTGTCCCTTTGTCACTGATGAAGATCAACGTCTCGCTGAACCTCTACCCACCCGTGCCACCAAGGTGAGGCATACACCTTTATCTCAGTTATTTGCTGTACATATCATTCGGGCGGCCTGCGCCTCCTGCTAGCATTCATCTACTCTTCCTGCCCAGTTTTCTCCCAGTTTTAACCGTTTTGGCGGGGTTAGCCTTATACGACTGCTCCCCCACCGCCGACCTTCTGCTCGGGCCGCAGCCCACCGTTGGCGGTTTGTCCTCTTCTCGTTCTCGTTCCTTCGGAGGATTCCATCACGAAACCCTCTCCCGCCTCCTCCCAACAACACCTCTGGTCGTCACACGTAGTCTCAACTTGCTCTATTGGATCCCCAAACTTTGCATGCTGTTTCAACAGCATAAGTCTGGACAATGGCCGACGTAGATGTTGCGCCGACCTTCGGCGCTGAGCTCAAGGTCCGTATTCACGCGCGCGCTGTGTCCCCGGCGGCTTGGCTTGGCCCCTCTAGACGCTGACATGTCCTTTAGGATGGCTTCAAGCCCGCCAACACTTGGGTCGCTCACGGCATATCATGGCTCGACGAAATACAGCAATTCTACCGCGAAAGGAGTGCCATCGAAAAGGAATATGCTGCGAAGCTCAATGCCTTGGCCAAGAAGTACTTCGAGAAGAAGAACAAGAAGTCGGCCCCTCTCAGTGTCGGCGACACCCCCGCCATGACACCAGGCTCTCTCGAAAGCGCTTCCTTGACTACCTGGTCCACGCAGCTCACCACGCTCGAATCCCGAGCCGACGAACACGATCGATACGGCAACAATCTCCTCTCCCAAGTCGCCGAGCCTCTCAAGTTCCTCGGCACCCGTTTCGAAGAGCTGCGCAAACGTCATGCCGATTACGCCGGCAAACTTGAACACGAAAGAGATTCTCAATACGCGGATCTGCGCAAGACAAAGGCCAAATATGATGCTGCTTGTCAAGAAGTGGAAAGCAAGCGCAAAAAGTCTGAATCGTCCTTTGACAAGGCCAAAGCGCAGAGCGCCTATCAGCAGCAGATTCTAGACATGAATAACGTCAAGAACACGTACTTGATCGCAATCAACGTCACCAACAAGCAAAAAGAGCGCTACTACCATGATTACGTTCCCGAGGTTATGGACAGTCTGCAGGACTTGGCCGAGTTCCGCACCATGAAGCTGAATGGTCTGTGGACGGTTGCATCCCAATTGGAAGCTGCTATGCTGGAGAGCAGCAATGGTCTGATGCAAAAGCTTGCTACTGAAATTTCCAGAAACCAGCCTCATCTCGACTCTATGATGTACATTCGTCACAACCTCGGCGCATTCCACGAGCCACCAGACAAGGTGTTTGAACCTAGTCCCGTATGGCATGACGACGACCTGATGGTTGTGGACGAATCCGCCAAGATCTATCTCCGTAACGTACTCAGTAAATCCAAAGCTCATCTCGGAGACCTACGCAGAGAGGTTGACAAGAAAAGACGGGAGATTGATGGTATCAAGCGTATAAAGCAAAGAATAAGGGAGGGCACTGAGAAGAAGGACGAAGTCCTCGTGGTCACGCAAATCTTCGCTCTACAGGAAGATCTCCATGCCGTCGACAGGCGGAGAGTGACTGCAGAGGTCGAGACGTCCACCATCACCTCAGCTGTTGGCGACGTGACGCTAGGAGCCAAGAACCACAACTTCAAAGCGCAAACATTCAAGATTCCAACGAATTGCGACCTGTGCGGTGAAAGAATATGGGGTTTATCAGCCAAAGGCTTTGATTGCAGGGACTGTGGCTACACGTGTCACAACAAGTGCGAGATGAAGGTCCCAGCCGACTGCCCAGGCGAGCAGACGAAGGACGAACGAAAGAAGCTCAAGACCGAACGGCAGGAGGCTGCCAACTCGCTGTTGAGACCGACCGCATCATCCCCTACCGTCGCAACAGATTCCCCGACCCTAACGAGATCGAACACGATGAACTCCCTGAGTTCAGGATACGCGCATAGCGCACGTCGATCAATAACTGGGGGTCCGACATCGCCGATAGACGAGGTCCCTCCTGAGCCGTCTACGCCCCGCCCGGTAGCTCCTCCGTCGACTGTAAGCTCTACCACAGCCCGTAAGAGGGTCATGGCACCGCCTCCAGCGGCATACATCAGCGAACTCCCTGGTAGCGCGCCAAATGGATCGGGCTCTCCAGACCAGCAGAATGGCAAGATGCTCTACACCTTTGAAGCTAGTGGCGATGGTGAAGTATCTGTAGTCGAAGGTCGGGAAGTTATAATGCTGGAACCTGACGGTATGTTGCTGCCCTCGCCAGGGTTTCTTCTATATGCTAACGAAATTACGAAGATGGCGCCGGCTGGGTAAAGGTGCGCGCAGGATACAAAGAAGGCATTGTGCCCGCCAGCTACGTCGACTGGGCACCACCATCGCCCATCGTCGCGCAGAACACTGGAGCGTCTGCTCGGCCCGAGTCGACCTACTCCAATTCAGGCTCCTCGATAGGAACAGCGGGACCGAAGAAGAAGGGACCGGCGGTCGCTCCAAAGCGCGGGGCCAAGAAGCTCAAGTACGTGGAGGCCTTGTACGAGTACGCGGCGCAAAGCGACGCAGAGCACAGCATGACGGAGGGTGAGAAATTTGTCCTCATCAAGGACGACCAGGGCGACGGTTGGGTCGAGGTCGAAAAGGGCGGGGTGACGAAGAGCGTGCCCGCGAGCTACGTTCAGGCAGTCTAGGAGTCGTGTGTACGGAGGCGGAGAAGTCACAGGAAGTCAGAGTCGCTCACTGCGGCGGCAGCGATGGCGCACATTGTGCTGCGAGACATTTCACAGGTGCCGCAAAAGCACGTTACGCAGCAAAAGGGGTTTGAGACGGAGAGGAACGGTTACCAAGAGCCGCCTCGGGCAGTGGATCCTGCTGCAATGGTTGACACGAAGGAGCCTGTGACCAGCATCCGGCTGGTGAAGCGGAACCAGAGCCAGAGAGAGCGGCGGAAGTCGAAGCTCGACGATGTTGCTGCGTGGCGTAGATCAAGAGAACGAAGTAGCATAGGTTAAGGTGCGTGCATGCATTCAACGCTGGTCTTTTACATATAGGTCGGGGGAGTCGAAGTTGGAGCATCAGGGGGCGGTTCCGGTGACTTTTGAAGTAGTTGAAAATAGCAAAGCATTCTTGTTTTTCGCCCCCATCACGAGTTGATACACATGGTGTTCAAGTGTGCGTGAGCGAGGTTCGACAGTGATGAAAGTGTCCGTGTCAAACAAAAACGTCAAAGTTATCTTTCAGTGTCACCAAATGTCAAAAATAATATCGACTGCCCTCTGCGGGCCCTTGGTAGCATCGTCTTCCCTACCAGGACTTGAGATCGTGGCCCCTTACCGTTTGCGGCCAAAAGGCAAAAGGGGGGCCCATTGGACAGAGTGACCTGGTGCGGCAGGCAGGCAGGCCACAGGAGGGGAGGGGAAAAGGATCGGGGAGATCCCAACCTGGCCCTCCCGCTGCCAGTAACGCCGGCATCCGCGCCATGCCCGCCATTCCAGTTCGCTGCGAGAGCTCACGGGCCTTTGCGGGGTGGGGACCTGGAGGATGACGAGTCCTGGCGAGGGCAGAGGAAGAGGGAAGTAAGCGCCTGGCTGATCGTGCGCTGGAGTCGATGTTCAGGCTTGAGAGAAGAGACCTCAGATGGTAGACCACAGTGTTTTTACACAAGAATGCTCCAAGCGTCGCTTCTGTAGAGAATAATCTCTTGAGAGGTTTTACTTCTTCTGTGCCGCTTGGGAGTGTACGGGTACTCCGCAGACTGTACGGATAGACTGTACGGATAGACTGTAAAGCCAAGTTGTCAACTTGGCAATGGCATGGATTCGAGTCTCCCAAAAGCAAAAGCAAAGCAAACAGTTCGAGGGCCAAGGTCAGGCGCAAGGTGAAAAGGACTGTTCCAAGAACGGGCCAAGCACTGGCCAAGCGCCAATCAGATGACAGTCGAGGGCGGATAACCCCTGATAAACCCGCTGAAGGGTGTCACACAGAATGGGCGTTGCGTGCAGAAGATGGAGGGATGAAGGGGGGATGCAATTTCTTGTGCCCAAGGGCTGCATATGTTTTCCTGAGAACTTTTGGCAGGTTGGACGCTGTATCCTTACGGATATGCCTGCAAGCTGTAGGGCAAGGTCGGACAGGGTTCGCCTCTAGAGTTCCAAGCAAGGAAGACGAACGAGGCGACAGAATGGTGGCAGCTGATCGCACGCCGTTTCATCAGAAGAGGCGGCTGTCTTCTCAACTTCGATAAGTGGCCAGCGTCTTTTCCGGGGGAAGTGGGCAGACGGTCCGAAGAGGGAGAAACAGAGAGATTCTGTTTATTTGTATCCAGTCCTTGATTAATTGGCCGCGATATTTGTTCTTTTTCTAGGAACAACAGACAGGCAAGGACCCAGGCAAAGATTCAATCTACCCGATGGTACGTCGACGTTGGTCTGAAACTGGGCACGTTGAAATGGGCGGGACTGACGTAGTGGAACCGACGATAATGGACTCGGAATATGAGCATCGATCGGATAATTTCTCGTCTGCATCAGTGCATGGACTCGTGGAGTGTTCAGAGCCTAGAGGTCGTAGTCCGAACGGAGACTTATCTCGTAGACGTACGGATGCTGATGGTTGTACTTCGTACGTAGACGAGAGAGATTGGACTCGAGCAGTTTGGTATGCCGTTCGACGCCTGCTCTACAATCTACTCGGCATCAGACGGCAGCAGAGTTGCGGTAGACCTGAGAACGAGACCAGACCGGGCCGGGGTGGAGGTTGGGTCTCGGTGGGCGGTGGCAGTGTTGACGTGGACTTCGCGGCGCGGCATTCTTTAGATCGCCAGCGAAGCGAGGTGAGTCTTGCCATTACCATTTCTTAGCTGCATGGTGTTTTTCTTGGAGCTTTCTTGGGACCATTTCTCGCGCGTGGGAGGCCGGTCTTGGCCAATTGAACGAGGCCTTTGAGGATTTCTCGGTGGCCGATGTGGAGGAAACTGGATGGAAGGTCGAAAACTACCTACACAGTAGAAGCTAGGAGGTGTTGGTGACTGGTGTGCAGGTGTGGTGCCAATGGTGGTGAGGTGACGAGAGGACGCGGAATCGGAAGACAGGGACTGGCAGGGGCCCTTCTTGCCTCCGTTGATCGCTGTGGCAGTGCATGGAATGTCGTTTTGACTGGGGCAAAGAATGGGGATTGATCTCCACTTTCTGACTGGCGGCTGGGTCGTAATGTCTCTGTCGGCATGCAAAAAAGGGGTGGAGGATGGGTGAGACCGTGAGATGGACGACCTTGCACCCATTGCATTTGCACATGGAATTGAACAAGTACCGCAATCAAGTACCACCTTGAAAGTTGAATTTTGGTCGGTGGGTACGCAATATTGTTATCGTGACTGCTGTCAGATGGGTATGCGTGATGCCCTGCTTATTGAAGTTGGAATCTCAAGTATCCGTACCTAGTGGCAGGCCAGCAGCGACGAAATGCAATGGTGTTTCGATGGTGTGTGGGGAAATTCGTCTTCTTTTTTTCGTCCAGAGGCGTGTTCATGGCTGTGGCGATTCAAAGGCACAGATGATCAACAAGAGCTTTTTTCGATACGAGCCAAACCTGAAAGAAAAACATCAGATACGGTACGAATTGCTGAGTTAGACTGGCCCTGGGGAGGCGGCTCGGCGGCATTGTGAGGCAAGCTGATGGGCGGTGCTACTCCTTCGTAGCGTCTCGGTGCCTCCAAAACGGCTGGTTCCAAAGTCGATCGTCGTTTTTGTTGCGTTTCAGCGGCTTCGACCAGGCGACTTGAAGCAATGGGGATGGAAGAATGGGATTGTTTCCAAGTGCGACGGATGGGGGATAAAGCAAAGTGTGTACACAACCTGTGTCCATGGACAGTACTTCGTACACAGTAGAGCCAAACAGGCAAGGCGATGGTTGTCGACGACGTGGACGAAAAGTCTGTGCCCAGACGCGCCGGTGCAACGCGCCCAGAGACGGACGCTGGACGACATGACGGAATTACATCACCAATAATCTTTCTGCCCGTGTTTGTGTGCAATACACAACCTGAACAAATTGGAGCAAGGAAGGGGGCAGCACGGGGTGGGTTTAAATGGACTCTCCAGCTGAGCACCTGCCCAACAACCAATTGAGTTTTGCTCTTGCTTGCCGGGAACCCGATTTAGCTCCATCCCACCTTCCCGCTGTCTGCAGCCACACCTCTCTTTCCTCTTGGGTTCATTACATATCATCTCAGGAAGACTCCGTACAAAGGTACCTAGTGACCCACGCCTTCCCGTCCCCTGAATTGGACTCGTAGTCTCGCGAATGTCTTCCCAGGAGAAACGTCCAAGCAGGAAAGAACAGCTGCCATCCAGCCAGTCAAGTACAATGGTGCGGTTGTCTGACAGACACAAGAGACACTATAATCCACTAGGCGAATGAACGGCTGTCTGCTACTCCTATCCCCCCTTCCCTTCCTTTCCTCCCCGGCGTCGGGTGGTCCACCGTCCACGTCTCCTGTCGGTCCTTTCCTTGGCAAGCTGGCAAGCCGCAAGGCAAGGGAAATCTGGACCAGGGCGGCAGAGCCACAGAGTCTGGGAGCACTGGGAAAAGAGGGCGCGCGGTGGAGACCTTCACCTCCCAGAGTCTGGGGGGTGTGGGTTGCAAAAGAACGAATTCCACTTTGCGGCTTGCCCTGCTCCTCCTTCTTGGTCTAACTCGTACGAAGTTACGAACAACACTGCGTAGTGTACGAATACACTAACAGCCTGCCTACCAGGTAATGTGGTAATGTACGGATCCCCAGCACTACCACCGTCAACCACGCCGTTTTTTAATCATCCACGTCCCTCCTTCCCGCCCGACCTCTCTCTTTCCCTCCTTCTCGTCATTCTCTCCCAAAATCATCATCCGACTTCTCGTTGCCGTTTCCCGGGTCTCGAGTGCGCCAACCCTTTTTCCCCTTCAATAAATCCACAGTCAACTCCCTCGCTTTGGTTGACTTTTTTTCCTCATCTACCTTTCACTACACCGACCAACCCTTTTAATCAACAACCCTTTTGGACTCCGGAATCTCACCCCTTTCGCAGCTCACATCCAACTGTTCCTCACTCTTTCGGAACATTCTATCGCTTGGCACTTTCCGATCATCACCTTGGTTTTTGGGATTTCACTTTGGTCCTTCACACACATATTCACAATGAAGTCTGTCGCTGCCCTCGGAGCCCTCGCGGCCCTGTCCGTTGTCTCGGCCAAGCCTACTGCTACTGAGCGCGAGGCCCCCATCAAGGCCCGCTCCCTGCCCGCAGTCTCCGCCTCTGGCAATGGTATGAATCACCAGTATTATCTCGTCCTGACCTAATTGACTGACATTTTCCCTACTAGCTTTCTACGCTGATGGCACCCGCTTCTACGTCCGTGGTATCGACTACCAGCCCGGTGGCTCGTCCGAGAACGTCGACCCCCTGGCCGACACCACCATCTGCGGTCGTGACATCCCCAAGTTCAAGGACCTCGGTGTGAACACTATCCGTGTCTACTCCGTCGACAACTCCAAGGACCACAAGGAGTGCATGCAGAAGCTCGCCGACGCCGGCATCTACCTCGTTGCCGATGTCAACAACCCCAAGTACTCCATCAACCGCGCCGACCCCCACCCCTCATACAACGCCGTCTACCTCCAGAGCGTCTTCGCCACCGTTGAGGAGTTCGCCCAGTACGACAACACCCTCGCCTTCTTCTCCGGAAACGAGGTCATCCACGATGAGGCCAACACCACCTTGACCGCCCCCTACGTCAAGGCTGTCACCCGTGACATCAAGAACTACATGGCGTCCCGCGGCCTTCGCCACGTCCCCGTCGGCTACTCTGCCGCTGATGTCGCCGACAACCGTATGCAGTCCGCTGAGTACTTCAACTGCGGTAGCGATGATGCCCGCTCCGACTTCTTTGCCTTCAACGACTACTCCTGGTGCAGCTCCAGCTTCAAGCAGTCCGGCTGGGATGTCAAGGTTAAGAACTTCACCGACTACGGTATTCCCATTTTGTAAGCAACGTGAACACCTGCTTTGCTTTGTCCACACTAACCAATGATGTAGCCTGTCTGAGTACGGTTGCAACACCAACACCCGTACCTTCGACGAGATAGAGGCTCTCATGAACTCTGAGATGACCGGCGTCTACTCTGGTGGTCTCATGTACGAGTACTCCCAGGAGGCCAACAAGTACGGTATTGTCGAGATCAGCGGTACCACCGTCTCCGAGCTTGACGAGTACGCCAACTTCAAGAGCGCCCTTTCCAAGTACCCTGCCCCCACGGGTGATGGTGGTGCCGCCACTACCTCCCACTCTGTCGCCTGCCCTACCTCTGACTCCAACTGGATGGTCGACCCCACCAAGATTCCCACCCTCCCCTCCGCTGCCGAGAAGGTAATTCACATCCCATCTTGTTTCTGAGGAATAATCTGCTAACAAATCTTCAGTACATGACTGCTGGTGCTGGTGACGGCCCCGGTCTGGGCGGCGATGGCTCCCAGAGCTCTGGTGACTCTGCTTCCGACGGCGAGACCACTGGAGGTGTTGCTTCTGCCACTGCTTCTGGCGGCGCTTCTGCCACTGGCTCCTCCAACGCTGCCCCTGGCTTGACCTTCGGCAGCCCCATTGAGAAGGCTCCTTTGGCTGTTGCCGGTCTGGCCGCCATGTTCACCATGTTTGGTGCTCTCCTGTTGTAAGAAACTGAAGCCATGAAGATGGCCCAGCTATTGCTGGATGTACAAACGATATCCAAAGGGCATTTGCTCTTAATTCGCATGAAGCACTAGATTTGATGGTACGGCTTGGCCGCTATTTCGTTAGTTTATCAATGACACCCAGGGTACGGGGCGTCCCCGGCTACTGGAACAGTGAATAACACGGCATGGAAACGGTTTTACTTGGAGTTGAGTCTTGGTACTGGCCGTGCTGCTTCATAAAAGCCTCAGAGGACCATGAATCCTTTTCTATGCAGGCGCGCATTTGTATGTATTGCGAAAAAGCAACGAGGATTGTAATTCATTTGTTTGATCATGATGTGGTTTGTTCATTATCTCTACCTGCGTGATCTGGGTACCCCCAGTCTTTGCCTACTTAGATGCGTGGCCATCTACTGAGACCAAGAGCGAGTGGCCCAGTCTGTTATGTTGAGTTGACTTGACTCGACTTGATGGGGGTTGAACTGCAGTAAGCCTTGAAGTTAAGTTGAATCTGAGATTGAAGTTCAAATGAAGTTGAAATTCTAGTTGACGTTGAAGCTCGAGCGCTGCAGAATTCGGCACGGGACTTCGCGATGGTCTGTGGGCCAGCTCAAAGTTCAAGCCTTCAGACGATTGTTACAGTTGTCGAACTGATGTTGAGCAACGCAAACACTGTGTCACCAAAGCAGGCACGCCTCTCGTTCTCAGTGCCGGGAGCCGTTATTGTGTTGTCGTGGTGTTGTGGGCGCTGTTGGCGCTGTTCCACATGGATTTCCGCCAGATTTTGGAGGTCCGCGGAGATCATGAAGAACTGGTATATGATTTTGCAGAACTCAAGGGCCTTGGAACTCTTCCTCCCTCCGGAGCAGAATTTGGACGATCTCTTGAGTCGAAACCTCGTCGGGGCCAAGACATGTTGTGCGTTGGGTCGACCAGGAGGACGCCGAGGACTGCTCCGGCAAAAGTGGAGAATGTGCCGTAGCTTCCGCTAGTGGCCGGCTATGGCGTAGTTACCAGAGCACGGCACGGGGTACCGGTAAGGTGCCATAACCTCTACTCACTTGCGACATATCTGGTCAAAGCACAGGACTCCAGAGGACGACACCGCCACCACAAGCGTTTGATCTCAAGACCCTTCCTGCTGTGGCTATTTCACTGGGATCGCATTTCCTCCGGGAAAACGGCAGTCTAGCGGAAATCCGGGGGACGTTGCGACGGATCAATATCAATGTGTAAGATGATTGGTGGACTAGGACGAGCAGGTGTTTGGGGAAAGTGACTTCCAGGCCAATCCGCGTCAAGATCCCCCGCCCCGAACTCAGCACACTCTCTCTTCAAGGCATATCCTTTGAGGGAGAAGGGACCTGCCATCCAATCTTCCACCATGCATTCGCTGACGGCTTGGCGGGAGATGAATCAGGCCATGGTTTTACGTTCGGCTCCGAAAGCTCCTGGTTTCCTCGTACGGAAGTGTTTGCTGATCCTTTCTTTCGTCGCGGCACAATGTCAAGGAGCTTTGAGTCGTGACTCTAGGCCCTCCTTCGAATCGCTTCACATGCCGAATATCCGGCCCCGCCCGGTACATCCAATAAATCTTGGCATACTGTTTGTCAGGAGTTTAGAGGACGGCGCTCGAGTCTCTGGTAAAGCTACCATGAGGTGCTCTTTTTGTCATTCGGGGTTCGTCTATTTGCTGCCAAACTCTCTTTCGCGGGAAACCCCGCTCCCCGGCAGTGTCGCATGTAAAGAGCAGGGTAGTCCTCGTTTCCGAGTGGCCTGTCTGACCATCTGAAATACAGACTTCAAACCACGTTGCTTGAACTTTTCGCTGAACCTATAATTACCCTCATTTACATGTTCACGACACTTTGAGATGACAATCTTGTCCGGCGTTCCAGAAGAGAAATAACAAACAATGCGCCAAAGAAAGGCCGCGCGGCGAGTAGGGCCAGTCCTCGTGGCGGCCACTCTCGTTCTCGTCATTTACGTTCTATTCTATCCACGAGATAGGCTCCGGAATCCTCTAACAGGACATCCGTCCACGGCGTCCTTTGACTGGAAAGGGAAGGCTGGCCTTCCGACTGGGCCGGCATCTGATTTTGACAATCTCCACCTGGACGAGGCAGAATGCCAGAGGACGTTCCCTGGCCTGACGAAAGAGATAGATCTGGCCGCTACAGAGGGCGCATTCCAGCTCGGACTCGGCGATGCGTCCGTCTCGCTTCTGGGGCAGATCAAGGATAACAGGATACTGATACTGCAAGCGCCGAGACCTGTAGACATGTCAGATCAATGGATGGAGGTTGGTCCACCTCAACACTAAAAACTTCCCACCTCCAGCAGGAACCAAGATCCAAAGATTCCATGATATGCTCAAAAAAAAAAAAACTAAAAAAAAACTAACACAAAAGACCAGCGACAAAGCGCAGCCCTCCACCAGCTACACCGCGCCGTCCTCACCTCGCCAACCCCTCTACCAGACACCTACTTCAACCTCTACATCCAAGACACCCCCATCAAACATACCTGGTCCCACAGCCGTCCAGCACGGCGGACCTCGTCATCACCTCCTCGACACATCTTCCCCATCCCCCACTTCTCCTTCTGGGCCTGGACCCAACCCTTCATCCGCTCCCTGCCCCACGCAGCCGCCGCCATCACCGGTATCGAAGCCAGCCTGCCATTCTCCGAAAAAGACGCCCGGGCGGTATGGCGCGGCACGGCGTGGTTCAACAACGGCGCGAGCGCGAACCCCCGGTCCCGACAGGATCTCGTCAAGCTCGCCAAGGATACGGGGGCTTGGGCTGACGTGCAGGCGCTGGAGTGGATCGACAACGGGGAGAACGCGACGAACGCGCTGGCGATTGAGGATTTTTGCAGGTACAAGTATATCATCCATACCGAGGGTGTGTCGTATTCCGGGCGGTTGCAGTTTCATCACCTTTGTGAGAGCGTGGTGGTGAGTCCGCCGCTGGAGTGGATGCAGCATACGACGCATCTTGTTGAGCCGGTGTATTCGAGGACTCTGCTACAAGACCAGTCAGGGTCTGAGGTTACCTCCCAGGCTAAGCAGCCGGACGAACAACACCATCAACCTCTAAGGAGGACACTGGAGCAGTGGCCGGCGACGCTCCGTCCAGAGGAAGCGAACATGGTCTTCGTCAAGGCGGACTGGTCGGATCTGGAGGCGACGGTGCGCTGGTTGGAAGATCATCCGGAGGTGGCGCGCGGTATCGCCCGACGGCAGCGGGCGTTGTTCTCTGGTCGCGGGTATCTGAGTCCTGCGGCGGAGGTATGTTACTGGCGGGCTCTTGTGAGGAGCTGGAGCCGGGTTGTACGTGTCGATGATGATGTTGTTCGGAAGAGTGCTGGCGCGGTGAGCTTTGAGGAGTTTATTGTGCGGTATGGAAAGACGAGGAGAGGTCGTTGAGACATATATATCTCTTGAGACTGGCAGTCGGGCGAGGTGCCGTCGAGGACGACAGCGGAAAGCATAGAGAAAGGACGAGGTACTGGAGTCTTTCGCCTGGATCTTACTCTGTGCGCTCACGCGACTACTCACCGAATGTGGCCATACGGTTGGGAGAAAACTCTCAGATGGGAAGAGAAGAAGTCGGTATGCTTCTCCCGAAGAATTCGACAGGAGCGGTGAGGTTTTGGATCCCAAAGACCATTGTTGCTGGATCCAAATTTGGATTGTCGCCAAAACCTTCAAGACTTTGGCTCCGAGTCCGACACGAAAGGAAAAACCGAAACGGAGACCAAGGTACTCTTGACCCCGAGTCAAATATTACGACGAAACCTTATCAGCCAAGGCAGCTTTGAATATTGTCAGAGCCTCGGCTGGGGTTTGGACACAATACTCACGCTTCGCTCGAGAGCTCTTGAGCCTGGTAGTTTGGTGATGACCTCCTCGATGGCGTGCTCGCTCAAGTCCGTCCTTTTTTCTCGACTTGCCTCATGCGGCCTTGTTGATCCCGCCGAATGCTTTTGAGGAGAGGAAAGGATGGCGGAAAACAGCACATTTACCAACGACGTAGACGTCGAAAAGAACAGAGAAGGCCAAGGTAGTAGAGTTGATTACGGAGACTGGCTTTACGGCAGGGAAAAGCATTCGGTCAGAAAGAAGGAAAGGCTGATATTTTCGATGGGAATCCGCGAAATCTTGGACCCGACATCATTGGATCTGAGTCTGAATTATCGTCAGAGCCTCAGCCTCTGGTTCTAGGCCCGTTGTCACTCACGGGAGGGAGGGGAGATTGAAAGTCCTTTCTTCTTTGGCCATGAGTCAAACATCACAACGAGACTCCGCTGGCCAAGACGACTATGAACATGACCAGACTTTGGCGAGGAGAGAATCTCTGCACCAACGATGCTGCTTGCGCGGTTCTCGGCACGCAATAGACGCATAGCGCCTCGGCGCAAACGCGCTCCGGCTCCCACCCATTGCCTGGTTTAGATTTTGGGAACTTGGGGGGGGGGGGGGTGAGTTGCCTAAACCAGAAGCTACATACGCTTTTTCAAAGTCCTTGCCTGCCGGAGTATTCACTTGGCAGAAGGAAAATCATCAAAGCGAACCTGGGAATTCTGATGACAACCGCCCCGACTTACAGGGTGACGGGTCATGTATGGTGGGGGGGTAATGTAATTGCCCAGGCACGCCAGGTTTCCATTCCGTCCTGGTTCCCATATCCTGGGATTCGAGCAGACGAACCCCCCCCCCTTACCCCCTGCTGTCGAGAAACGGAGTTTGCCGCAGCTCTTGTTACTTGTATACGCGGGCGACGTTTCCCAAAGTATGTTGGAAGTTTGGAACCAACAGGTTGGTGACTCGGGGATATCCATGTGGGTGCTTGACAGGGTTGGGCAAGGTTTCTTATTCAAGCTATCCGTACGTGTGATCGGCAGCGGAAAATTAGCGAGAGTCTTGAGAAGTTCTTGAATCTTGAGACCGGAACAGCAAGCAGCGGCAGCGACATGCAAAAACGTGACCGGATATCGAAAGCCTGATTCCATCACTGGAATGCCAATGAACGACCCCCAAAGTTTCCGTGCCGAAACCTGATCTAGATCCTTTCCCCAACGCCCGCTGGCTTTTCCCAAATGAACGATTGCCATGAGCAACATGTCAAGCAGAAAATAAGAAAAAAAAGACAAGTTTGTTTGCCGATGATGGTGTGTCCGGACCTCGGCGTCTCCCATCCCCCTCACCAAGACTACCCACCTCGCCTCGCGAAAGCTGGGTCTCGCGGGAAGCGAATGGACCTCTACCTCGATGCATCTCGACAAACACGGTCGAGAAAATGCGCGCGGGCTGCTGAGTGCTGAGTGCTGGCAGGGTAATACAGAAAAAAGCCTGCGTGTGTAACTGTAACCTGGGCCAAAGAAGACACAATTTGTGACATATCAGCTTGAGCCATGCAGTGCAGGCAGGGCACACAGAGCACAGAATACGGACGCATACACACATACACGACACAACACGACACGACGAACCAGCCCTCTGGGACGGGCGACAGCCTATTCCCGAGCGGAGGAACAGGCGCTGCGATTTTGGGAGACAGTGGAATTTCTCATGTCTTGGGGTTAAAACGAAACTAGAGAAACAGCTAGAGAAATGTTGTGTCAGATGGAAGGGGCAGAGAATCTGCCTTGGGACCATGGTTGGGCAGTTGGTTCACACAATCCCGCTCTCACTTATCTCATACATCTCCGTCTCTTCCCTTCTCCTCCAACGAAGGACGACGACGACGTCGACGACTCAACGAGAGCGAAAAAAGAAAAGAAAAAAAAAAGAAAAAAGCTGGGAGCAGGGCCCGAGAACCGGGGACAGCCCTCACCTCTGGTTTCCCTGTGCGGCACAGTAAGTTAGTGCCAAATCCGGCCGCCCATTCAAATTCCGAGGGGCAGGCAGAACCATGCGGGTTGGCTTGTTGTTGTTGGTGTAGTGCACATGCACATCACGCCCTGCTGCATTTGCCTAGACTGGACCTTTCCCTTCCGTAGGCCCCCGTCCGTCACACCGTCTTTCGGTGCGGTTCCAACGTTGGTTTGTGAGGCTGTGGATAATGCTGGTGCAGCAAAACTTGGGATAACGGGATGGGAGGGAAAGGCGTAAGAGAAAGATGGAAACAGCGACAAGTGAATATACTGTTGCGAATGAGGGCCCGCCTGGGATTCGCGTTCGTTCTCACTCATCCAAGTGGTGTCTTCGTATGTAAGCGGATGCTACCTGAGTTGTTCCCACCTGTTATAGGCAATCACGTTCTGTCATTCTATCAAGTCGTCTTTGGCCCGGCACCAACCAACTGACTTGTGCAGCTTCCCACCGCATGTGCTGGTCCGCATGGCTGCATAAAAGTCGTGATCCTTGGGAGGGGCCTGCCGTGGTGGTGTTGGACATGTATGTCTAGGTTGTCGCTTCCGAAGCCACATGGGAGCGTTTCTCCCCACCCCTCTCACCCTCGTGTCAGATGTCACATTGGCATCACTTTGTCTCTTTTTCTTCTAAAGGCCTCCGGTTGGTGATGAATGAGGTAACAATGGCTCGGTTGGTCGATGGGGAATTTCGGCTTATTTTCCTTCTTGAACCACGATCCACATTTAGTCCTTCTTCTTTTTTTTTTTTTTCTACCATCCCACAGCTGTGGCACCCTCTTTTTTCTGCAGCCGTTTGCATACGGCTAAACCAGGAAACTTCGTTGGTTCTGAACTTCTGATTACATTGTGCATATCCATTACTTTTACCCCTCCTCGGATGCAGCAGCCCACACCACTAGATAGACGGACCTGGAAAAGAATGCGCAAGAGATTACAACAGAAAAAGAAGAAACCAGAGCAGAGGTTCGAGAGATGATCAATAAAAAAAAGATAGTTCTTGGGAGTAGTACCCAGTCCCGGTGATTCGGTGACCCCCTCCCCCTCCCCCCTTTATCGGCCGATAAAAAGACCATTCGCCGTCTTCCATTCTCCACCCCTGCTGCTCCCCCCTCCTCAAGAACGTCCCGACATCCGGTAGCAAATCGGGGAAAGAAAGCGACAGGCCCCAAAGGTAATCACTTCTAAAAGGAGTTTCTTTTCTGTCAATCCCGCGCACGCTTTTGGCCAGTGAGTGACCTCGGAAGCTTAGGTAGTCTCCCATGTACTCCAACGAATAACTAAGGTAGACACTAAATCAATTAGCAGGAGGGGGAGGCGAGGGGAGAGGGGGGGGGCCGCCGAACCAGAATTCCCAGGTCCCAGGGTCCAGGGTCCCCGGGTTCGTGGGTACCTATTGTGTCAGTCAGACAAGGCAGTAAATGGAGGACTCAGTCGAACAAACAACCACACTAACCCAAGTCCCAAGTTCCAACCCGTTGGGTCTGGCAAGTCTGGGCTGGGTGTCTGGGTCTCCCCGTGTTTTCGTTCCCGCCTTTCCCGCCCTCGCGGATTCAGACCGACCAAGGCCGACCCAGCTGTCTGGGTCCATCGCTCACTCACTCTGAGTCTCTCTGACACTCACCTCATCCACTCATCCACCCACTCACTCATTCTCACACACTCACTCTCTCACACACACAAAGGTCATACACTCCCCCCCCCCCCCCCCCCTCCTCCCATCCTCCACATACCTACCTCAACACCCTCGACCTTGGACCTCAATAATCCAAACTTTGTTTCCCGTCGGGATCTGGTCTGGTGCTTTGTATGCCTCATTTGCCACTGCTCTTGCGAACCTTGTGGCTCCGGTTCTCTTATCATTTACTCGGTCGTTCGACTCTTCGCCGTCCTTCTTTGATGCCCAACTCATCCCCCCGCTCGTCCACACTAGGTTCGCAATTGTCTTGATAGCTACCAGGAGGGAGGCGACTGCATCATCATCATCATCATCATCAGCAGCACCACCACCACCACCACCAAAACGCCTCAACTCCCCGAAACACATGCCCGTATTATCACGGCAGCGTTACAAGAACAACGCCAGAAGCATCCTCTTCCTTTGTTCCAAGCATCTCGTCGATTGCAATCGCGAGCAACTGACACAATCGCATCCACTCGTTCCATCGAGTCTTCCATGAGGCTGGCGCTCAACCGCAATCGAACAACCATCAGTTCCGAATCCGTCAACGCTAGCTCGTCAAAAAAGCTCCGGCATACAGATACATAGCGTGCTGCTAAAGTATCCAGCGAGAGCCCGCCTTTCGAGCTTCGCACCTCTTCTTGTGTCACCCTGTTCATGTCGCGGACCACAGTCATGTCCTTTCTCCCACCAGGTGTCGCCGATGGTCGTCTTCATGGTTTCGAGTTCACGTTTGAGGCAATTCCCGACAAGTCATCCCTGCACGACAGCCACATTGAAGTTGACGTACGTTTTGACTTGGACCCCTTATTTTATCTTTTAAAAACTAGGTCTACTGTTCGTCCGATGTCACTAACAAACTCCACCAGCCCGATCCTCATGAGGGGTAATGCCTGCCAACGCGGACTACTTTAGCTTCATCTACACTGACTAACAACCCTTCATGCAGGGAGACTGAATCACTACCCGACGACGTCGAGTGTTTTCCCAGACATTTCGGCAGGACGTATCATGCATACCGAGCAGGCTGTGAGTATTCAATGCTTTCCCCCCCTCGGCTCTTATCCGGGAAACTCACACAATTTTATACAGCCTATGTCTTCCCCAACGACCCTGCAGAGCAGGAGCGTTTAGACCTTCAATCGCTTGCCCTCACAGAACTGTTCAGCGGCAGGTTACACTTCGCCCCGATCGCCGTCGAGGGAACTCCTAAACGAATCCTTGATGTCGGCACAGGAACGGGCGCCTGGGCTATGGATATGGGAGATGTATACCCGGAAGCCAAGATAGTCGGTATCGACCTGTCACCGATCCAGAGCAACGCCGTTCCACCAAACGTCCACTTTTATATCGAAGACGCGTGAGTTTGTGACTTGAACCAGACACGACTCCCCGTAAACACCCGTTCTGACTCTACCGGCAGCGCACAATCGTGGCAATGGGAGGACCCCTTCGACTACATCCACACCCGCGTCCTGCTCGGCTCCTTTGGCGACTTCAAAAACGAAGTCATACAGCAAGCGTTCGACTCCCTCCGCCCAGGCGGCTGGCTAGAGTCCCAGGATTTCAACCTCGAGGCCACGAGCGACGACGACACACTCGCGCCCGACTCCCCTTTGTCTCGTTGGGTAGACGACATGAACCTCGCTAGTGAGATGATCGGGCGCCCCTTATCTAGAGCACACATGCTGCGAGAGTGGTATGAGGAGGTGGGCTTCGTCGACGTCCACCAGCACGTCTTCAAGATCCCGATCAACGGCTGGGCCAAGCACCCCAGGCACAAGCACGTCGGAAGGCTTTGGGAGCAGAATTTCTTGGACGGCCTGAGCGGCTTCAGCATGGCCCTCTTTACGCAGGTGTTGGAACGGCAGCAGGAAGAGGTGCAGGTGAGTCTTTCTCTCGAAAGGCAGATTCAATGATGGACAAAGTTTTCTGACCCGCTGTTTATGGCGTAGGTATCTCTGGTCGATGTCCGCAGAGACATCTCCAACATGCAAATACACGCTTATCAGCACGTCTGGGTTGTATGGGGTCGCAAACCATACCCGGATGAAGCTGTTCCTGCGCAAAGTCCGCCAGAGGACAAGGACATGACCGACTGAAACGAACTACATGATCTAACGAACTCTCTAATAGATGGGGCGTTCTCTACATATGGCGAAGCCTGAGTCTTATCATTTTCTTCTTCTTTTTTTTCTTTTCTTTTTTTCCACGACAAATTTGTCAAAAGACGACTTAGACTGGGCCGTGCTTCCAGCGAGGAACACCGAAAAGCGTGCAACAAGACGCCAAAGAAACTCGTCACGACGTTTAAGGTGCATCCAGGTATGCGAGAGAACCCAAAGGCGATGCGAATCAACGTTTTCAGCGGCGCACCGTGGGCCCGTACGATCATGACTTTAGAAACATATTGCATAGCACAGAAAGATACCATGACTTGTTCTTCCAACCTCTCCCAAGCTGTTAACCTGCTTTCCAATTCCCTTCATATTTTTCTTTGTCTTATTTACTCCTTCTTAATCAACCACTCCAGCCCTCGCGCCTTTCCCTCGCCCACCAACTCACCCAACTTCTCCCGCGTCAAAAAATTCTGATCACACGGCTCCCACCCGGGCACGGCGACCTCGGTGATCAGCAGCCCCTCACTCGACGACGACGCGTCCTCGTCCCCGTCCTCGTCCGGCAACACGAAGCTGGCCTTGTAATCGCCCCCCTCGACAGTCCACTGCGACCTCTCGCCCGCAGCGACGTTACCGCCCACGACGAAACTCTCGACGCCGCCGTCCGGGTGGAGGACGACGTAGCGGCCGCGGCCGCGGTGGAGAGAGTGCGTTATGCGCGAGCGGTTGCGGTGGAAGTGGCCTATGGGCGAGGACGGGGTGAGGTAGTAGAATATCGCGGACGAGAGGGCGCGTCTCTGATGCTCGGCCGTCGGCGGAGGGCAGTCTGGGTCGTTGTTGGAGGGTGCTGCCTCGTCTGAGGCGGGCGTTGCTGGAAACGGGGAGGGGATCGAGGTCGGGGCGCGGTCTGTCTCTCTGTAGAAGCCGCCTTCGTAGTGACGGTGGAGGGAGAGGGCCGATACGATCTTTGCGGTGGAGGGGGGATCGTGAGGGGTGGGTAGGGCTGAGGGGGATAGGTGGGAGAGATCTGGGAGAGGGATGGAGCCCATTGTTGATGTTACGAGGTTGTTACTGATCAGAGACTTTGGAATGTGAGATCTATGAGAAAACAAGACTCAAGACAGACTATTCTAAGGCTTCTCGAATAAAGCAGAACAAGGTTGATGCTGAATTCTAGAAATAAACCATCATCAAAATATCTCAGGCCATTGAGAAGTTCTTTCTAAGCATGAGGGAATTGGCCCCATAAGCTGACAGTCGAAGCTACTGACCCTAGTCGGGAGCCGGGATGCTTGATCACAAGAAGCGGATGAAGGGCCCATTCTAGCAGGTCAGCAATTAGAGCAATCCTCACGATAACTACCCGTAGGATAAGAAGCAGCCAACCATGTGTACTGCGTCAATCACAAAACCAAGCCAATGATAATTCACAAGTCGTCATGCCCCAGTAAGGACTCTAGCTTGAGACGGGGTGTTAACAGAGGATGGCATCTGCAGAAGTTTCATGGTGTCGATGATGGGCTGAAAAACGGATATAGTTACACATAATGCTCAGACTTGTCAAGACTTTGCGAGACAGTTGGATGCTTACAACTTACAAATCCAAAAGTCCAAAGTTGACGGGATTGTAATCCTTGTTGACGACATACCCTAACCTGGCGGGGACGCTGAAGAATTGAGCCCGCTGTGGCTGGTGTGGATTTCCAACGCCACACCTCTTATCGTTATCGCCGTCATCGCCGTCATAAGCTCTTTCCCAGAAGTCCGAGATGATGACAGCATCAACGAAGCTCTCGACATCGCACAATCTCACGCTCGAAACCCGCTCGCTGCAGCCGTGTTCGCCCTCAAAACTACATCAAGGCACTTGCGCCGATACAGCGACAGAACTACCAGCCTCCGGTCTAGCCCGCTCTTCCGGCGCGAGCCCTTGCGCCCGCAGCCATGCTCCCCCTCCGCGCCGTCCTGCGGCCGCCGGCCTTCCGCGCCGCGCCCCGTCACATCGCCGGCCTTTCTCTCCCCACACGACGACGAGTCCGAATCCCTCCATTCCCGATAATACGAAGCAGCTTCCCGTCACAAAACCAATACCCCCGACTCTTCTCCCAGACGATCCGGCGCCCGATCTGGGGGAGGGGGCACGACGGCTACGACCCCAACAACCCCGCTCATCGCGAAGTCCTCAGAGAACACAACCTCCGGACCGCCCGACCGCTCATGACGGTCGGCGACATCGGGCGCTTCTTCAGGTCCCGCACCTTTGCCGGCACAGCCGTCCTCGCCGTCCTCGCGGGCATCGCCTTTGTATACTTCAACATCCAGACCGTCCCCGTCTCGGGCCGCAAGCGCTTCAACTGCTACTCCGAGGCCCAGGTCGAGAGCATGTCGAGCCAACAGGAAAAACGCGTCATCTACGAGGTCGAGTCCCAGGGCGGCCGGTTCCTCCCCTCGTGGGACCCGCGCGTGCGGATGGTCCAGCGCGTCATGCGCCGGCTGATCCCCGTGTCCGGGCTCGAGGACCAGGAGTGGGAGGTGAGGGTGATTGACGACCCGAGCACCCTCAACGCGTTCGTGCTCCCCGGCGGCAAGGTCTTTGTGTACAGCGGCATCCTGCGCCTGACGCGCACCGAGGACGGGTTGGCCGCGGTGCTGGGCCACGAGATTGCGCATAACCTCGCGCAGCACAACGGCGAGCGCTGGACGCAGGCAATCGGGCCCAATATCCTCCTCTACAGCATCATGATCTTGACTGGCATTTACCCGGGGGCCATTGTCCTCACGCAGTGGCTGGGCCGCGGGGTCATGGACCTCATGTTCACGCGGCCGATGGGGAGGATGCAGGAGAGCGAAGCGGACTATATTGGGCTGATGCTCATGGCGGAGGCGTGTTACGACCCGCGCGAGGCAATGGCGTTTTGGAAGCGCATGGACGTGGCAACGAAGCAGGCGCATGTAGAGGAGATTCCAGAGTTTTTGAGCACGCATCCGTCGGTATGTTTTATCCCCCTTTATCTCGACCTCTACTTTTCTTTTGGGCCGCAAGCTTTCCGTCTCCATGTTGGCCATTACTAACAGCTCAACATTAGAACGAGCATCGAATCGAGGATTACCAGAAGTGGATGCCCAAAGCCATTGACAAGTTCGAGGCAAGCGACTGCAAGGGAACCGCCGGCTTCGCCAACATGTTTAGACGGGCGCTGGATCGAGGCAGCATGATTGTAGAATTTTAGAATAGGTTCCCCTGCCATGGACATGTGAGCACGCTTACGTAGCTAGCTAGCTAGGTGTTTTTAGCGTTGGGGTTTGGACGGGATGGGCCAAGTTTATGATGCTCCCTTGGATTTGCTTAACTATACTCGCTTCTCTTTTCCGAGAACTCCCCTAAACACTGTACTAACAACGCCGCTCATCATGCTCGTAGATGCGTGCATGTATAAAGAGGAAGAAGATCCCCGTACCATGTTCTCTACTTTGACGATTGAGGAGGGTGTTTGAATCCCACGTGCCTGGTCAACCCCAGCATTACCCCGGACATCCTTGACAAACGGGAAGTATCCGTACTTCGTAATTAGATTAAGCCTAGAACAAAACACACACACCCAAAAGTCCAGCATTACTACTCCGTAGCATTGCTAGGTATCCAAGGGTGGTACAAGGTCCAGCGGAGCCTCGGATCTTTCACAGCTGTGCCGATGAGAAATGCGAGTCTCGTGATTTGCTCCCGCATTTTGCTACTCCAGTCTCCAGGTTTTTACTCCCGTGCTCCCCCCCCCTCCTTAGTGCCGGCGGAGTTCGACCACCCCCAATCAGCAGCGGACGAATCGAATGACGTCGCCCCGTTCGCGCCTAGATGAGCCGAGGTAAGTTTGACTCGAAAGTGAGACGACCACAACCACGCGCACCCAGCACCGCACGTTACCTACCTGGACTCCCGGACCGGTGAGTGCAGTGCATTACCGCTGCGACGACACCGAATAAACGCCAGCCCAACCCCCCGTTGCCTCTCCCGTTTCCATCGTTTCCTTCTCGAACCTCAACTTCCTCCCATCAACCTGACCACGAATCTCACCAAACAACTCACATCCAACAACTATAATACTACCAGTAACCTTCGGCTTACAATAACGCACTCTACCGAACCCCTCACGGAAAACAACACCCGACCTTCTCAACCCTTTCAAAACACCGCCAAAATGTCCAAGACGTTCACCACCCAAGAGGTCGCCCAGCACAAGACTGACAAGGACATGTGGCTCATTGTCGAGAACGGCGTCTACGACATCACAGGTACGGCAGTCACTCACCCCCCTTCCTCACCATTGCTCCATTCTGTTCGGTTCTACGTCAATACTCCTCTCACTTTGCCTCTCTCACTTTACTCTCATCACCAAACCAGCCCTTCTCTTCCTCATCCCAACCGTGATGCTGACACCCCCCCTACCTTAGCCTTCCAATCAGAGCACCCCGGCGGTGAAAAGATCCTCAAGCGCTTCGCCGGCAAGAACGCGACAAAGGTGTTTTGGAAGTACCACAACGAAAAGGTGCTCGAAAAGTACGGCGGCAAGCTCAAGATTGGCACAGTCGCCGAGAGCGCAAAGTTGTAAAATCTCTCCTTGTTCACTTTCGGGTCTGTTTATTGTAACTGGTTTCTTTGTACTTTCAGCATCTATTTGTTTTTAAATCTTCTTTCGTGGCGCCATGGGGACTTATCTTTTGGAAACCAACGGCTCTTCCTGATTTACCTTGGGGCATTTGTCAGGTTGTGGGTTCAACTGGTTCGGGGAGAGTCAAAATTGTCGGGATGAGGACCGCGGAACCTCTGCGTCCTGGGGCGTCCCAGACACCATTTTTGGTTCTGGAGGGCAATGCGATCCGACCTCACGATGAATGACGACACCCTTGATTTCCCGCAACCTACGGGACGGCATGAGAACGTATGAACGGCGTGAAGGAGAGTCTCAATGGCTATGCCGCGACGCATTGGCGAAAGACGGTAGACGTAGACATCTAAAACGGCTTTGAAGCCAGGTGCGCGCGCCAGAATAGACGTTTATTTCCCACATTCCAAGAATCTTCCCACAAACTCCCTGATCTTGTTCTCGAACCGTTTAATCATTAGATATATCTTCGTAAAACTATATGCAATCGCCAAGCAGCATGGCTGGAGAATATTATCGTGCAAAGCCCTCTTTCGCCTAATCACAAGCCAGGAGGACTCCAAGCGTGGGAGCCAAGAAGAGCGAGCGCACATTGCCCCAGGCTGGCCCCATTTTGCACTCCCCTTCTTTTTCCCAAGGGCAGCTCTCTGTCTGTGTCTAGATTTTTGTATCATTCGTTGGATCGCAGTCTTCTTTTCCTGTGCGTCCGTCCCCACCTGGTCTATAGCCAACCTCTCCCAAACCAAAAGACAATTATCGGCCGTCTTCCGTCTCAGCTCTCCCTCCTGCTCTCTCTCCCCTCCGCGCTCCTATTTTCCAAGCCATAGAGGGTATACTGCAATTCGTGTCGTGCGTTATACAAACGGAACAAAGAGAAAATGTGGTTGAAATGAGCATGAGCCCAAATGCTCATGCGATGCCGTCGTTTCAAATTGGGGTTTCGTCTTTCTAGACTGGAAAGATAGGAAAAAAGAGGTTCGTTGATGCTCGTGGCTGGTCCCCTGATCAGTACCCGCCGATGAGAGAATCATCATATCGATCGGGGGTGCCCGATCTGCTGCCGTTGGCGCTGTCGCTGCTCGAGAAGTAGCTCTGGTCGATGCGGAAGATCCAGTCCATCTTGTCTCGCTCGCTACGTGCAGCGAACAGCCAAGTGTTGTCCGTGCCGTAAATCGCAAAAACACCAGCTTGCAGTCGCTCACTCAGCCTCTGCAAGCCACCACCAGGTCCATTGGCTGCGCCTCCTGTTCCGGTGCCTGTCCAAATGGTTGAGATGACACGTCCAGAAGCAGTTCGTCGATGGCTCGGACGGAATTCTTCTACGCTGCCGTTGGTCTGTGAGCCCGTGTCATCGTCGTCACCAGATAAGAGCCCGATAACGCCAGGCTGGCTGTCGACGCGTGAGTTTCGCAGGCTGACGATGGCCACTTCATCCCCATCAGTGACAGAATGGATGTGCAGGTATGGCCGTCGCAGTTCCACAAATCTTTTGACCCATCTCGTGGAGCTGCTGTTAGGAATCAACAGGTAGCCACCCTTGAGCACCTTGGGGTTCTTCGGAACTCGAATAATTGTTGGGATCAGGCTCGGCGGAGCGGAAGCCTCCGGTGCAGAGCCGTCCGTCGGCGGATCAGTGTTTGTTGGGCTGAGAATCTGCAGCAGCGGATCAGGGTACTTTTTCCAGAGCTTGATGCATTTCTCAAGGATCTGCTTCTCTCGCTCGGGCATCTCTGGTTCTTGAGATGCTTGCACTGCCGCAGTCTCCTCCTCTGGTTGCGGCGTTTCTTGCCCGTCTCCGTTGAGAAGTTCGTCGTCCTCTGGCACCTGCGAGCTTTCCGGTGTGTCATTCAACAGATCGTCATCGTCGTTTTGATACGTGGGTTGGGGCGGCAGGTCTTCTTCTGGTGTCTCCTCTTCCGCTGCCTTCAACTTTGGCTCTGGCAGACCAATCTTCTTGAGGAGGGTCTGCACTGCTCCGATTTCCGCAATCCGCTTCCTCTTCTTACGAGAAAGAATGAAGTCGCTGACTAAGGAGACTCCACGAGGGGTCCAGGTTGTGAGCTGCTCTTCTCCCTTAACATAGTCATGCTGGCTGCTCATCCGCCATAAGTCGCCTATTCTCTTGATAGGAGCTGGTCGCATCGACAGCGTAAATATGGCGCTTGTTGCATGAACGAAACGGACGCTTTGCCACAGCGAGGAGAACATTGACGTCTGCCGTATCCATGATCTTGACATGATCTGGCAGCAGACATGCATTGCGAACTTCATCGGCTCCGCGAACTTGCTGGAGCTGATCTCCCAAGCTACCGTCATCTGAACACGGTACTTATCCGCGGTGACTCTATCCAGGAGCAGGGAGTTGTGCAAGCTCGAATCCCATTGGCCGGTCAGCGTGATGCTTCGAGTACCGTTGGCATTATCACGGAAGGCTGGCTTGTTGGCAAGCTTGAGGGTGATGGTAGGTGACGTTGAGGTCATGTCTGGCGACTTTCCTGACTGATCGAGAAGCTGAACCTTACCCACCCTCAAGTTCATCGCGTCGTCCCAGGGCAGAGCATCTCCAGAACTGTGCGTGATGTTGATGGCAATGCGGCGTTGGAGCCCTTGGTGAAGTTGGAAAGTACCACCGTCCATCTCACTCGTTTGTGCTACTTCAACGGGTGCGTACTCTCCCTCCTCGTTCAATTCGAGAATCTGTATCCTTGACAATACGTCGTGCTTCTCTTCAGTGAAAAATTGTGACTCGGCGATGCGCGCTCCTTTGCCTTTGCCTCTGGACAATGGTACAGCATCACGCATGTCGTCCCAGCTCAGCAATTTGTCCAGGTGCATTGCTGAAACTTTGGCGAAAATGGCTGCTCTGAGGGTGACGGTTGGCGGACTGAAAAGAGGAACGCTCATGCTATGCACGCTCTCAAAGCGTATGGGTCCTTCGTCAAAATCCTTGACCCACTGCGTGGTGGTGATGCCGTCTTCCTCCGAGACACCAGGGATGAATAATTGAGCGTGAACCTCCGTACCCTCTCTTTCGGCAAACCCGACCATGTCGTGCATCACAACATTGAATTTCAGCGTGTTGGAGGGTGCTCTGGCGTGCGATGGCTCCAGTGAAAGCTTGATCATGCCAATGGCATGGGATGTATGTGGGGAGAGAATATCCAGGGCGAAGTCTTGAACCCTGCTTTCAAAGACAGCCTTCAGTGGAACGTCGACCTCTCCTACAAGCGTATACTGCGGCATGCAAGTCTCGATGAACGGGTTGTCAAGACTCAGATGCTGAGCATACTCTGGTTGGTCAAGATATTGGTGCATTTGTCGCATTTGCCTGACCCGGTCGTGCAGCTTCTCCAGACTCCAAAGATGCACAACGCAATTCTTGTAGTCGACGACACGCACGCCGATGCATGGTTTTTGTGTTTCTTCGAGGGGGATATCGTCTCCTTCGCCAGTCAACCCATTCAAAACCATGTCGTAGGTAGAGCAGAGGGAATGGCCGAGGTCCACGACGGTGAATTGGAAGACCACACCCTCATCAAGCTCGTTGCTCATGATCTGCGCTTCCTTCAAAGTTGAGGCGTGCTGCAACACTGCTTCAGCCATTCGCACGTAGCGTCTAGTCCGCCACAGCTTGACGACTTGCTTCGCAGTCTCGATTTCTTCATCGGAGAGCTTGGGGTTCGCCTTTGGCCTCTTCAAGGGGTCCATTTTCTCGAGCTTCTCTTCGAATTGGCGACGTTGAACTTCCAGCTGTTGTTGCATATCCTCCTTGAGTGACTGCAAGGTCTCTTCCATCCTGACCTTTTCCTTCTTGATCTCCTCCACTTCAACGTTGGCCGCTTCAGCTGTCTTAAGCTGGTCTTGGTACTCCTCTTTCTGTCGGTCAAGCTGGGATTGCATCTCTTCTCGCACTTCCCTCAACTTGTCGTCTACTTCACCCTGCTTCGGGGTTGAAGGCATAGTGAGGGC